GCTGGGTATTGCAGCTGTCAACATGATGGCGGTGGAACACAATGTGTCATAAGCTCCAGGGCACGTTCAGCCAATCTCTCAGCCTGCCCCACTCACGTTTACACTCAATTAAGACATATATATTTCTAGTCTTGCTCAGAGGCTACTGTTTAAAATAATGGAAGGGTTATTTAGAGTATGGGCAGAATAATACTTAAGAATTGTAGTGAGCAGAAAGACAAAAGGCGTCATGTTGGCGTGACCATACTTGCAAATTATGTATTGTTATTATTTAGAAAACAGGTGAAAGTGTGACAGATCATCCACCACTGCATGCTGATAAGGTACTAAGGACAAAGATAGGGTTTAAAGGAGCTGAATACCCACAGTCTGAATAGAGGACTGGTGCCAATTTCATCTCTGTGCATGCAGTGCACAGATCAGAACAAGTGTAAATGTAATGTAACTAAAAAAGTAGAAGATAGGAAAAACAAGAAGCCTTCGACACAACTGGAAAATACAACAAAAATGGTTCAACAACTGCAAGAGTTACCTGAATTTTGTTCAGCTTATAACTGTGCCAAACTGATAACTAAGTTATAGGGATTTCTGATGCGCTGCATTGAGCCTTTGTGCCCCGCTGTTATTGGTCGAGGACACCGATGCACAACTTGACTTCACATTTGACCACGTCACATTTAATTTGGCTCAGCCTCAAGCACATAACGCACCACACACTGTGGTAAGTTGAGCCAAAAGATCGTTAGATACAAATAGAGGTGACAAGAGATTGACTTGCAGGTCGCAAATTTGCACAAACATAAAGTACAAGTGGTGTTGCAATTCTTTTTTAGCTTTGTGAGGTGAGTTTGAAGTCATCAGTAGATCTGTGCCCGACAAATGTCCTGGCATTTCTGGCTGCCTGTGGATTTACAGTAAAGTCTGACTCCACAGTGACTCTATTGCCTCACTACTGGTTACACAAATGTGTGATCAGTGACTTTAACTACCCTTAATTACATATATGGAAAAACGAAAATGAAAAATAAATTCCCTCCACCACCTTGGACAACAATATGATCTCTATGATGAACTCTAAATTCATTTATTGTAGGCTGACCTGAATGAGATGTCTAATGACTGACATTTAGGACACTGACACAAAAATGTTTGAATGTACTTACTGTATGAAAAATATAACTCAACAGTTAACTGTACAAATGAAATACGAAATTACCAAATACATTTTTTAGGGTCTGGTCAACATTTTTCTGTGGAGTGTACAGGATTTGACTACTTTATAAACTGTTGAATTAACAAAAAAAAAAAGACGAGAACAGTTCATGAGACATAATGTGAAATGGGACACCCTCATAAGCTACAACATATCTAAAGTTTGAGACTAAGTGCCCAGACACAAAGCAGATAATATTTTGAATATGTTCAACATGTCTAGATTTAATAAAAAGAAAGTGCATGTATTATACAGTTACCTTTACAACCTACAAAACTCCTAAGACTAACCAACAACCTAAAAACTAAATTACCCTAACGCTGTTGTCGTCGCCGTCTGAACATTAGTTACGTAGGTCAGATACAATAAATGGAGACATATGGCAAGTGGAAACAACAGTACAATAAAAACTGATTCGAGATTAACAAGTTTAGAAGTTTCCAGTAAAAGTAAACATCATGCATTTAAAATTTACTTTAATTTTTAAGTAAAAGTGCAAAACTGTTAGTATCAAAATATTAATAAATATGGGTAACAAAGGTAAATGTACTCATTATGCAGAGTGGCCTATTTCACAATAGTGTGTATTGTATAAATGTATCATAGGTATTGATGCATTTATATGTAAGCATCACTTTGCTGTTGCAGCTGGTAAAGGTGGAGCTAGATTTATTTACTGCCAGGTTGCTTAATTTATCATAGTGCATCATAATTTATTTGTTAGGTATAACTTCTGTTAGTAGTCTGCATCTGCAAAGTAACTAACTAAAGATGTCAAACAGATAGATTGGAGGATAGACCCTCATAAAATAAAAATAATCCAGTGAAATACAAGTACACATGGATGGATTACTGAACGGGCCTACCGAGCACAGGCCCAGGAGCCCAGAGTTTTAGGGGCCTCACTGGCCTCACCTGCAAAATGTCACTCAAATTAACACATACTGAGCAGGCACTCAAAGAAACTGCAAAGAGACACAAATTAATTACTTAAAACAGGCAAAAAACAACAACAAAGAAACCCAAATCATGTTAAAATCATTTGATGTTGATGTGTTCAAAGAAGTGTGTTAAAACTGTATGCCCTGTTTTCATTTTCTTTTTCTTTTTTTGCCTTTTTTCTGTTTTTTTTTTTGTTTGTTTGTTTGTTGTTTGTGCTTTGTTGTATTATAGGTGGCCTTGTGTAACATCTTTGCCAAGGGACTACGGGTGAAAAATAGCCTTTTGGCTAATTTGGCCTTTTTATACATATATATGTGTATTTATTAATTTGCACTGTCCCTTCTTAAATAAACTAAACTAAACTAAAACTAAACTAAATTACAAAAAGACAAAAAAAAACCCCAAAGAACACGACACAGAAAATAACCACATAGAGACATAAAATCACATGAAGGTGCATAACGACCACAAAGAGACACAAACCCACCACAAATTTTATGTCTTACCTCTTTGAGCAGAGGTGGTGGGGCCCTTTGCATATCTGTGCCCATGAACCTATTGTCTGATGATCCGCCCGTGCAGGTGCCTCAAAATTATACTTGAGAACAGTGCATGAGTCGGCCCTAAATCAGGGGTGTCAAACATACGGCCCAGGGGCCAGAACTGGCCCACCAAGGGGTCCAATCCGGCCCACTAGATGACTTTGTACACCTATTATTGATGCGAGGTGCCAGGTTTAAACAGTGAGTAGATACTTAATGTAAAATGCTGCCTTAGTCTTTTCCATGCCGACCACAATATAGCTCTCTGAAATAACAATGAGTACTTAGGGCTCGTCCCAATACCTCCCCTTAGCCCTACCCCTTAGCCCTACCCCTACATTTGCGCGTTCCTGCGAGGGGTAGTGTCCCAATTCCTTTTTGCGTGTAGGGGTAGGGGGCATAACGAGGGGTAGTGGGCATGAAACTAGCCCTTCGGAGCGAGGGATTTCAGATGCTGACTTGCCAGTGAGGGGTAGACGTCGCCATGGCTACCACCGAGCAAGAGACAGGGGAAAAAGTTCATACATTGCTAATGTTATCGTCGTCAGGTTGCTTGTTAGCTAGCTAGCTAGCTCTTACTATCTAGCATCTGTCATCTGTCCTGTTCTGCAAAATTGTTGGATTTTTCACATTACGATAACCAGCTAGTATAACTATGCTGCCTCGTAATGTTAGCTGGTTAGCTAGCTAGCAGAAGTCCCCTGTCGTCTTTCGTTCATCAAACGAAGCATGATGAATGCGGCAAATGCGATCGGTAGGATGAATGAGACTTCATTGTAGATGCCGGTTGGAAATGTAGATGGTTCGCAGCTTCCTGTTTAAAATAGTTACTTATGTGTGAATGTAACTGACTTTGTGACGTAGTGAGTGGTGTCCTAATTCCTAGGGAAAGATTTCAACCCCTACCCCTCGATGCTTCATTTCGAGGGCCAAGGGGTAGTGGACAAGGGGGTACTGGGATTGGGCCTTACTGTGGTCATTTTCAAAGCTATCAAACATTGTGCAAAATGTAGTCAATCAGCAGCTCCAGCACAAAAGAATCTGAGTCAGATTTCTGTATTAAAACAATATTAGTGGAACCCTGCTGCTGAGGCGCTGACAAAACTTCAGATTGTAAATGATTTATAAGGCAGGGGATGACTCAACCCTTTAAAATCTGAGCAAACTGGATTGATTTCTTTAAAAACACAGAAAGAAGGCAATGAGCAATGAAAGTAATAGTTAAAAAAAAAAAGAAAAGAAACAAGCAAGGAAATGACCTAGAAAGAAATGTGTAAAAGTTATAGTAATTCTGCACCATAATTTTAAATATGTCATTAAAAAAATCATAAATATAGTTTTTCCTTAGCTTTTTTCAATTATTTTTCCCTGGTTTTTATTTTCTGAATAATTTTCTAAATATATTATTTTCTTTTCGCAATTTGTGGGACATTTTTTTCCAGGTTGCTCAGTTGCCTTTTTTCCCCCATGTTTCTGACAGAAACTGCAAGATTCAAAGGTTTAAATACTTGCGAAAGTGCATTTGAAAGCAGCACAAGAAAAGTGATGTTGCTCCAGGTTTCAAAGGGTTAACCTGCCTCTTCCATAGCTTCCACTTTAGTGGGAAATTATAGAAAAATGCACATGTAATGAAAGTGAGTAGTAGACTGATGTACTGTTGAATTTGCACATATATTTCTGAGGATATCATGGGCATGTGTTTTGAAAACTGAAAACTTCTTGGCACTAAAAAAAGGAAACATTTAAAGGTGTTATTTATAGGTTATTATATAATGGTTACTGGTCTGGCCCACTGGAGATCAAACTGGGCAGTATGTAGCCCCTGAACTAAAATGAGTTGACACCCCTGCCCTAAATGTACTTAGTTACTTGAAGCAACTGCAGCACAGTGTCATATTTTATTAATTCATCATGTGTTTTGTTTGTAGAAACTTGATTTGTAAAGCAGCCAGGTGTCAGATAAATGTAGAGGATAAAAAGTAACATAAAACACAGTGCTTGAGTGAATGCACAGGTTACTGGGAGCTTCCACTCTGCAGGTGTAAACCATTTTGTTTGTGATATCAGGTGCAGGGGTTGTTTACGACTTGGTTGAGTGTGTGACCAGCAGTGTGCAGCCCAGCAGAGGCCAGGCCAGGCCGCTCTCCCTCGCGACCTCACCAGCTGCGTGTCTCCTATCTCCTACCCCCTGTCTCCTATCTCCTATCTCCACAGCAAATGACAAGTCTATTTTGGAAAAGGAGGCTGCGCCAAAACAGGCACGTCAGCTATTTGACATCATGAGGTACCGGAGAAGAAAGAAAAAATAAGTCTAGTCAACCGCCCACCGCAGGAGACTGGGGGGGATGTTCCACCACCATCCTGGATTTACAACCATTTCAAGGATATTTGAGCACAAAGACGACATTTTGGAAACTGTGATATTGGAGTAAGCCGACATCTTGGAAACCTTCACCGCCAACTGACGTTTGAGGCCACATGATTGAGCGGCCGTTTTACCTGTGTGGCTGAAGACTCAAGGTGACAAAGTAATGTTAGGCTTTTCAAAAATGATGATAGTTACACCAAATGTTAAATTAGGAATTTTGCCAAGAATTTAACCGAAGTTTTGTCAGTTTTTCCAATTAATTTGAACTTTAATTCGTGTGGGAAATACTATATTTGAACACCTGTAACGGTTAACGGTTACTATTGCTGCTTTAAGTTAGCTAACCTAGCTACAACCAGTGTCAGTTGGGCTAACGTTGTGTGCTTTAACTATAACTACACTCGTGTTTGCTCCAGTTTTAGTAGTTTTACAATTTATAATAATTTAATTACAACATATTTTTTAATACATTTTAGTCAGGGTGTAGACAGTGTGAGAAATGAGGTATGTTTCTGAAGTGGGAGCTTTATCAAACAGCTGATATCCCTTTCGCTTCTACAAATGGCAATGGACAGAGACGGGGTCTGACAGCTGAGGTTATTTTTGGGACAGGCAGTTCAAGCGACAGAGGTGACAAAGCTAGCAAATGTCACTCTTTGAGAGGAACATATCTGCTCCATTTGACCTTGTTACAGGGGAATTTGTCTGATGTTGTGTTGTAAAACCGCCTTCCTGTTGAATGGGCTACATGGCAGGATGTAAAGTCTTTGTATTGATGAATGTCTGCAGGGCCAGCACTGGGTTATGTTGACTGACACTGTAACTGCCAGCCATAAATATGCCTTTCTGGACTGTGGATTTATGTCTATTTTCATAGCATAACATATTTATAGAGTACACCCAACACACTGTCATATCTTATAATGGTTTGGGTGCATTTGGCAGGGTTTCTTTGTAATTTAAAGCCACAGTTCACCCCTGAATCCAATTTACATAGTTTTCCTTTTACCTTTAGTGCTATTCATCAATCTGGATTGTTTTGGTGTGAGCTGGAGCTGTTGGAGATATTGGCCATAGACACATCTGCCTTCTCGGCTTATGGTGCTCAGAGCGCCACAAAAATACAATAGCAAAGTAGCATTACAGCTCAGCAGAGGACGACACCATTAATGTTTACATTTCACGCTACCATGACTGTGAGATACTTGACCAAGAGCAGCCCAGTCACCAGAGGAAAACGTTGGCTTTGTACGTTTATGCATACAAGAGGTGCGAAACATTTTTACGTTTTTATACATATCATACCCACGTTTCTAAAGTGACATTAGTATGGATGGCATGTCACCTTGGCAAGACACCTGCCAAGCTGCAGACCACTGTGCGAGACCTACACACAACAAAATTGGTTGTTTCTTCAAGTAATCACTGCATTTTTAGTGACTTTTTCGGCACCAATCGTGGGTTTGTTTTAGCAATCCAGCACTGTGTTTCCACTGAGGATAGTGCCACAAAAAGTGGTTATTTTTTATCGAGCAGTTGCTGTGCAGGTTGTTGTTTTTACTTAGATTCAGGATGGTGCAACCAAAAGTGGGTATTTTTAGCCAAGACATACTGTGCGTTCCATTACCCACACTACCATACTATATAGTATGCAAGAAAAAGGATTTAGTATGTCGCAATACATAGTATGTGAATGCAGTATGCCAGAAATACCAGGGTGTTCTACCACATCTGGTCTGATTTTGCACTATGCAGGCCAGCATGCTTTTCTGGCTATTCTGACCCATGATTTCCTGCACAGAGGAAGATGCGTCACACAGCCTGAGCTGCAAACAGATCAAAGCTTGACAGCTCATTGACAGCTCACAGAAGTCGCAATGACGAATGACAGCTGTCAGTGAGCATTCAAATAACTCATGACCGGTCGAATAGTAATAATATGAATAGTGATTGTTTCAGTGAAAAAAAAAATCATTTTAAATATTACAAACAACAATAGGACATAGCTGTAAAAATAACAATGACTGAGAACTGCAGATTTAATTTCACTGTGGCAAAAATAATGTTAGATTCTACAATCTGTGCAGTTATAACTTTAAAGTTAAACTACAAACATTTCAAAGTAACACAAGGAGAGTTCTCTGGGTTGATCTTCATCTCTGGCGAATTCAGTAAGTGGCGTTTGTTTTATCGCTGAGGTAATGGATACTAATGTTAGGAAGTATTTTGTCCCGATTGTGTGCATACTGCATGTAACAGTACATACTTTTTAAAGGCAGCTGAAGTACATACTAAAAGTAAAAAGAAAAAATAAGCGATTCAGAACGCACCCACGATCTTTTCCTAATGATAACCAAGTGGATTTTCTGCCTAAACCTAACCACACGTTAACTACAGAGTTGCTGAAATGTCAAGAAGCGTAAAGTTTCAACGGATCTGCCAACATTTATTGTAGGTTGCCATGAGTAGATGCATGCTTCCTTCTGTGCAGTGATGCCGTCGTCAAGTGTAGATCAGTAGAGAGAAAATAGTACCTGCATGAAACTGCTCAGAACAAGATTTGTGGATTATTTTGAGTGACCGGGTCATGATTTCTGGAAAGAGACATTGCTGTTGAGTAAAAGGTATTTGGCGCTTTGAGCACCACAAGCTGAGTGCCATCTACTTCCCTTATATTCGAGAGAAGGCAGACATCTCTACGGCTGATGATCTCCAACAATTGGCAACTCACACCAAAACAATTTAGACTAATAAATAGCACCACAGGTAAAAGGAGAAATATGTGTTTTTGATTTTGGGGTGAACTGTCCCTTTAATGGAAATCTGTTGCCTTATTTGTTAAGCAGAAATAGCATTTGTTTTTCCTAAACCTTATTTAAATTATAAAACAGCAAGTTACTGAAAAATGACTTTGGTGTTTGGCAGTTAATGGCAAATTGTATTAAACTAATGCCAGCTATGAAAATCATTTGAAGGACTTAAATGAATCTGACACGTCCCATTTAATGCTGAATATTATTTTGTGTAAGCTGCTGCCTGGTACTGTGTTATAATATTCAGCTTTTCTTTGATTACAGGAGCAAACAATGGATCAAAACTTGTTTGGAGGAGTGCCCAGGTTTCTCACCCGCCCAAAGGCGTTCTCAGTGTGTGCAGGCAAGGATGCCACACTGAGCTGCACTATCGTGGGCAGCCCGACTCCACTGATCACCTGGGAAAAGGACAAGCTCAAACTGACATCTGGGGGCCGCTTCAAGACCGTGGAGGATGGAGATGTGTACCGCCTGACCATCTATGATTTAACACTGGAGGACAGTGGCCAATACATGTGCCGAGCCAAAAACAACGTCGGGGAAGCTTATGCTGCCGTCACCCTCAAAGTGGCCCTGCCAGCAGAAATGGCTCAGAGGGCCCCTGTATTCACGGTTAAGCCTACCTCTACACGTGTAGGTTTGGGAGGAGATGTTGTTTTCCACTGCCGAGTTGCAGCTTACCCTGACGCCAACTTTGATTGGGAAAAAGACGGGCGCTACTTGGGGGAGTCGAACCGTATCAAGATAGTTTCTGACAGTGACAGCAGCACCTTAAAGATCCAAAGTGTGCGTAACCTGGACAGCGGCACCTACACCTGCAGGGCCCAGAACACTGTTGGCCGTTCACAGGCTGCAGCAGCTCTTGTTGTAGATGCCCAGGATTCCCACCACCTGTCTGGAGACAAAAACACTTCCCTGCTTTCTCACCTACAAAAGCGCAAGGAGGAAATGAAGAAGGACATCTCGATATATCGCACTGAAGAAAGCAGATCCTCTGTTACCTCCTCCACCACAGCTAACATCACAGATGGTTTGAGTCTGGAATATGAGCTGAGGGCATCTGCTCTTGCAAAGCTGCCCAAAGGTGTGTTCACCCGTACCTGCACAGTGACTGAAGGCAAACATGCCAAACTCAGCTGCTTTGTAACGGGTCACCCTAAACCGCACATTATCTGGAGGAAGGATGGAACAAACATCAGCGAAGGCCGCAGGCACGTCATTTATGAGGACCAAGCTGAGAACTTCATCCTCAAGATCCTGTACTGCAAGCAGACCGATAATGGTCTCTACACCTGCAATGCAACCAATTTGGCTGGGCAGACCTACAGTGCTGTGTTGGTAACAGTCAAAGGTAAGATGTAAAGTCCTAAGCATACAATACAGTGATAACTCTAATGTACACATTTAAGAGAATCCTCTACAAGTAAGCTATCATTAGAGACATGTTAATGAATTATATGCATCATCTGTCTACACGCATGACATCATCTCTACTCCACTTTACATGCAGCATTTACAGCATACACCAAGCAAGGGATAAAAAACAAGGCTTCTTAACAGTTTATTAATTTGTATCTTAAAGGAGCAGTGTGTAAGATTTAGGCAGATTTAGTGGCATCTAGTGGTGAAGATTGCAGATTGCAACGAGCTGAAATTTTTCTTGACTAGAATTCCTCATGTGTTCATTGTTCAGGAGTTGTTTTACTGGAGATGAATTATCCACTGAGGTCTTGACCTGGTGATTTAAACCAGTAAACACTGAATACAGCAGTCCTACATTACAAATCAGTGTTTTCCTGGTGCTGTTAGACATGTCACAGACAGGCCACTAGCCTAGCACCTGCTTATCTGTGCTCACCTTTTTACTCTGATGTCTTGAGATCCAGACGTTAAGAATGGTTTTACTGGGGGCCGAATTATCCACAGAAGTCTCCTCCTCTCCAAAACAAATGGACCCAGTGATTCAAACCAGTGGAAACACTGAATAAAGCAGTTTTATGTTAAAATAAAATTGTGTTGTCCCTAAGGGGCTGATAATTACGGTGACTGATGTGAAAATGCAAATGGTCTTATCTGGAACCAGTGTTTGGGCTTCTGTAGAAACATGGCAATGCAACATAGCATTCCCTGTGGATTAGGACGTCTTCCTATGTAGATATATAACGGCTTATTCTAAGGTAATGAAAACACAGTGATTCTTATTTGCAGGTGGTTATTCACTAAAGAAACAAACACTTATTTTATTATATTTCATTTCTGCCAATATATCCCCCTAAATCCTACACACTGGAACTTTAATACAACCTCTGTACCAATGCTTACTGCGCCAAGCCCCAGTTGGTTCAAACTGAAGACATACAGTACATCTTACAAAGTGGCTTACAAATATACAGTAAACTATCCAGGCTAGGTAATTTTCTAAAACAGTTGGGCACTGTACATTACTCAAACAGGAGTGAATAGTCACTTGTTGGGGAGTATTTTGAGCTTCAAATTGATGTGCATTTGATGCTCTAGTGAGTATTTTTAATAGCAGGATGGTGTATATGGAATTAACTTAAAATAAACTGCACTGCCTATGTCCATCGCAATGAAGGAGCATGTCACCCAGTACAGCAGTGTGGCTCATTCATGTTTTTAATAGCAATGAAAATGGAGGTGTATGGCGCTGAGGAATAAGCTATATGTTAGTAGGATAAACTCACTGTTCACAACTACAGCACTGTAAGTGTTGTCCAAATCAGTCTATCAAAGCCTCATTTAAACCTCTCAGAATAAGTGTGGCTTTTCACAACAAGGTTGAAATCTGGCTCATATTCTGAAGGAAGGGTGTTGTGTTGCATCTATTTTCTGCTGGTGATGAGTAGTTCACAGATGCTAAGATGGTCACTCACTCACTGGGGCACAGTGGCACCACTGCTACTGAGACTTCCCTTGGGGGGAAATTGGCCCAAGGGCTGAAACTGAAGGGTTGTAGATGTATGTCAGTATGTCCGATAATGAGGGCTGTGCCACCGACATACCCGTTTATTGCTGGTGCAGGAAAATGGATACACCTGATGTTGTCTTTGCAGGTTGTTAGCAAATTTTGCAAATGGAAAGATACAAATTTTGAACAATTAGTGGTTGCATGAACATTTATCAGTTTTTTAATAATACGCAAAATATGACATGGAATAAGAGGAAAAATATAATGTATAGAAAATGTTAACAAATAATACAGCACACAATTGCAATGACTTCTCTGTCACTTTTTATATCAGTACAAAAAACAATGGACAAAGGATGTTCTCGTGCCAGAGAATGCTCCAATTAAAGCAACAACAGAATACAGTAACAACCAGAACAACCAGTGGGTTCCCAGGGTCAGGGTCACACGCTGGGCCCAGTTTTAAAACAACAGAGTATTAAATGTCAGTCAAAAAATTCAGAATATACAAGATATAAAGCAAACCAGTGCTCAATAGAGTAACATAAGTGTAAGATAAGTGCAAGAGTTAATAAAAATGAAAATGAAAAATGCAGGCTACTCCTGATATCGTACTTTGTTTAACCCTTAATTAAAAAACTTAAATAACTATACATCGCTTAGAAATGGGAAGTTAATCACATTCCTGGGAAGAACCTATCAGATACGTTTGGAATACTAAGGAGCAAATGTTTTGTATGTTCAAAGCTTGTAACTATGCTTGGGCAGTATCTATATTTTCATACCGTCAGACATTCCAGAAATTTTACAGGGGTATATGGTTTAGTGTGCAGCACTACCCCCCTCACTTTGTTCTGCAAGCTCTCGTTGCTTTTTAAGTCTAATAAATGAAAAGAAAAAACCTCACTAAATGTCTAGAAAGATCGTATTCTTGCACCTGTTTTCTTTATGAAACAGAGAAGTACAACTGCACACCTTCTTGATTCAGGTTTTTGTCTTTCACCTAACTATGATTAGATTAACTGTCTTAGTTCGATGTGTCCTTTCGAAGGTTTACTACAGGAAATATTGCAGATATTTTAATAGTAAATTTCATTTATTTTATGTTTATAGATGCTTTGATTGATTTACTGACCCCAGTGGACTTCACCCATAACTCACAGTGGAGTTCCGACTGTTTCAACACTTGATTCCTAACTTTAAAGTGTTGACTTAGGTCCAAAGTATGGATATGGATATGCTTGTAACACTCATTTGTGGTGCAGAGCGCGGTAAGAAAACAAGAGAAGTAGGGGAAACTGACAGGATGTCCTCTGCAACCTGCACTGAAATAGTGGGTGTAGTAAGCACGTTGAAACCTTTAGTTCACATTAATGAAGTCAGGTAAATATAAACCATTTTCATTGACACTTTTTAATAATTATTTTTAAAGGTATTCAGCACAAATCATTTTTCCTAGAGCATGAGGAAAGTATTGTGACTGAACTGTTACCTTCCAGTTCACCATTGTTTAAGTGTCAAACCTCGGCTTAAACAACCAAGTTTTTACAGTTGACTGGCAGAAAGCTTTTATTTCACCTGCTACATTGTCAGATATGTTTGCCCACATTTCCCTCAGCAAGGACTCCTGATTATTGGAAACATTTGAAAAGCCCAGTTTCAAATCTTGAGTGCTTGAAAAGAATACACCGATGAAATGTTTAATGGGATCGATTATCTCTCAAGCAGGTTTCTAGTTTCTACAACTTGATTTTAATATTAGATTAGCCTGAAGTAGAGATAACAAGGAAATTGACAAAGTTTGTAAGTAAAAAAAAAAAAATTGTTTTTTCATATACATGCTGCATTTTGTAGACGATAGACTGACATATGTAAAACTGTCAACATGGCTGCGTAACCTGAAGATTCTGTTTTGTGTTTCATGATGTCAGAGCCTGCAGTGCCATTCAGGAGGAAGCTGAAGGATGTGGAGGTCCAAGAGAAAATGTCAGCCACAATGATGTGTGAGGTGCCCGTTACTTCCACCCAAGCCAGCTGGTTCATGGAGGAGACGCGGCTGCAGCAAAGCAGCAAATATAACATGGAGGAGGAAGGGACCCTGCGTCGTCTCACCATACACAATGTCACCACCAATGATGATGGTGTTTATATTTGTGAGATGAAAGAGGGCAGTCGCACTGTGGCTGAGCTCACTGTCCTGGGTATGGTTGAGTATTTCATTTTTGTGATGTGAAATATTGTGGGCAGGCACTGCTATACTTTTATCAAGGGGAATTAATGTGGCCTTCTTTCAGTGCTGCTAAAAGTTTGGAAATTAACAACAGTGTCAGTGCTATTTCTTTATGTTACATCTACTTCCTCTCATACCCCCAGGCAACATTACCAAGAAGCTTCCCCGCAGGACAGTGGTTCCTGTCAGTGACACTGTTATCTTCTGTGTGGAGCTGGAGCATCCCATCCCAGATGTCTACTGGACCCGCAATGGCGAGAAACTGAAGGAGGATTCCCGTATTTCCATTGCCTGCGTGCTCAGGCAGTACACACTCACAATTAGAGACTGCCAGGCAGATGACTCAGGAGAGGTGGCCTTTGTAGCTGGAGACTGCAAGACATCCACTCGATTCACTGTCACTGGTGAGGAATACACCTGGCTGTAATTCAGATTTCTTGCATTTGCTCTGACCTGCTTGTTTAGAGGGGGGTAATTCACATTTAAATAACAAAAACATCTACTAATCTAAACAGGCTTCATGTAGGACTTTTTTGTAATTATTCTAATTGTCTTGCATTCTGTTATTGTTCCTTTTAATGTTTAATTATTTTTAAGTTAAGACAAAATAATACAAACGCTTCATGGCAATGGCTTACGCGGCTGTGCACATGCCGCGTCTTTAAACACCTGGAAAACACGAGGTCGGGCACTGGGCGCTACTCTTGTGCCTACTCTGTGCCAACTTTCAAGGGCACAGAGGCAGGTTGCATCTGAGGTCAGCAACCATTACTAGCGCCGGATCAAAACGTACATACCTAGAAATCTTAAGGGTAGAGCTGATTTTCTTCCAGGCCCTGTTTTGTAATGGTAAATGGACCTGCACTTGTCTGCACTCTAGTCATCCGACCACTCAAAGCGCTTTTTATACTACGAGTCACATTCACTCATTCACACACACTTTCATGTTCAAGGCTACCATACAACGTGCCACCTGCTACCCAGTTTTTAACACACACACACACCGATGGAAGCATCATCGGGAGCAATTTGGGGTTCAGTATCTTGCTCAAGGATACTTGACATGCAGACTGGAGGAACCGGGGATCAAACTGCTGATCTTCCGATTGGTGGATGACCCGCTCTACCTCTGAGCCAAAGCCGCCCATTGTAAGTGTGTGTTAGGCCAGAAATATTGTCCGTGGGACAGATGTAAAGCTCTGAGTAGCCCTGCAGTAAAATGATTAACTTCTCCTCCATATTTACCACAGACTAATATTTACAGAAGAAAAGAAAGATATCTGCTGGTCTTGTTATTGTTATTGGTTATTTGTTGTCACATGACATATGGTGCATGTTACTGCGTTCCAAAAGTTGAACTCCGTTTATCAGGGTGCGTTGCTCTGCTATTTTAATGCACTTGCCATGCATCTACATTGAAAACAATGATTTTGAGGGCGCAAAAAACATGGCATGTATATGGCCCTAACTCTAAAATAACCCTGTAATTGCAAACAGTCCAACAAAGGCTGGTTGTTTTATGTTGTTCTCCAAATAGCAACATTTTTGTAAATGTAAAAGAGGAATGAAAATCAGTATTTTATATATGAGTTTTCAAAACAACATTGACAATTTTAATGGACATTGTAGGTGTCATCATCTTCGTTCTCCATGTTCTGACAGGTTTCTTAGCATATGCTATATGGCTTTGGAGTGCCATGGATTTTTTCCTTTTAGATTGTTTGGAAAAATAAGCTAAAGTGAACATGTTTAAAACCTGATCTGATTGATTATGTCTGTGAGGCCTGGTGCCCTTTGGTGTAGAGCTACATCTAGCAGAGTCCCTACGACTTCATACAGCATCACAGTAGTTAAGCTAGTAGATAAAATCTTATCATGACTGATGAGAAAAATAAGCTAAAAAAAAAGAAAGAAACTAATTTATGTATAATTTTTCTTTTGATTTCCTACAAACTCTTAATACTTACTGATCATATAAACGACATGATCATCACTCTTTCTGCTCCAGCTGCCAGGAAACATCCACCCGATCCCCCAGTCGACGCAGTGGTGCAGAACAAGACTGACTCATCCATCACTATCCGGTGGTCTCCTCCTGACAGCGACCGCCCTGTCCCCATCAAGGGCTACATTGTGGAGAGGAGGAAGGTTGGCACTCAGACATGGCAGAGGTGCAACCCTGGGGAAACCATTGTCTCAACAGAGATCATCATCTGCAACTTCACAGAAGAAGCCACCTACCAGTTCCGTATCTCTGCTATGAATGACTTTGGCCAGAGTCCTTACCTGGAGGTGCCTGGAACCTTCTACCTAGGTGAGACTGATGTCTCTGTGGCTATGTGTTGTTGTTATATGCACTCAAGTGTTTTTTCTGATGCCTGGTTTGCCTGTTGTCTCCAGAACCCAGTGCTGAAATCAGGAGAGGCCTGACAAACTCTGCTGCAGTCTCTGGTGAGGAGTTCTCGATCTCTGTGGAGCTGTCTGCTGTTTGCTCCGGCTTCTGGTCTCTAAACGGCCGCCTCCTGCGCAGTGGAGCCGACTACCTCATCACCAGGTCCAAGAACACACACACTCTGCTCATCCGTGTCGTCACCATGGAAATGAACGGAAATGAGATCAAGTTTGTGGGTGGAGGCTCGCAAAGCAGTTGCATCCTGTCTGTGAAGGGTATGAAAACACAGCCAGATAATTATCAACACAGAAAAATGCTCTAAATCATATAAGTGAACTGTAGTACATTTGTTGTTCTGTATTAAAACATTCTGAGCCTTGTTTTGAATTGAAGACCATTGGTGTTTACTTTTTTTGCGAGAAGCAAATCTATAATGCCCTTTTTTTACATGACAACTGTATTTTTTAGTTCCTCCTGTTAGGTTCACCAACAAGTCAGACGTATCGGAGGTGGTGACCTGCAGTGCCCAAGCCACTGCTCAGTTGACTGCTGAGGTGTCAGATTACGATGCACAGGTGTGTGATGGGAACATACGGCTTTACATTTAGTTTGCACAGATTGTTTTAACGTACCTTTGAATTTACAAGAATGTAGAGATAGAAAACAAATCACTATCATTTCTATAGTTGATTTTATCTGTGCTATTTTGAGTCTACTCTAAAATCTGCTTGTTGATGAAGCTTTGTACACAAATATGTTTGAAAATACCGGAAGGATATTCCATTCTAGATAGTTATAAAATATATTCAGTCAGTAGGCCATGTTTTCTGTTTAATGTTACTGTTACCCAGAAAAGTGCTTGTCAACACAAGTACTCCAACTTGTTAATATTAAAGTAACAGTAGATCTGCTTGAATAGAATACTCTTTGCTTTTATTTAATCATGTCTGTTTTTGCTATCTGTGCTGTGTTTGCTTTTTCAGGTGGTTTGGATGAGGAATGGACGGGAGTTGAAAACTGGAAAGAAGTATGAATATATGTTCACTGACCGCAAGAGGATCCTTATGATACACAACGTCACAGAGGAAGACGTGGGCATCTACGAGTGTGTTTTAGCTGATGACAGAATGTCCATCCAACTCAGTCTTAAAGGTAAGCTGACTGAAAAAGCACTGTACATTTTCTCTTATCACAGAGCAAAGTCATGAGTCTCTCTGCCGTAGATTGTGTGCTGGCCTGTGAAACAAGTGTCACTGATATGCTGTGCTCGGTCCAAAGATGATTGCGCAAAGGGAACTGGACTCAGCATGCATGTAGTTTGTCTCAGACCATGTGATATACTGAAATTTGACCTGCTTTGATGGCTACTAGCATATGCTTTTGAGCCATCAAATAGAGGAAAGAGCCATCTGTCAACATGTAATCAACTCCAGTGTTACTCTGTTACTCCAAGTTATGCTGTTTCCACACATGAGCAGCTCTGATAACAAACATAACGACATGCATTTCAAAAGAGATTTAAATTAATGTCATAAAGATTTTACATGTGCTTCACTCTGATTCACTAACACACACTTTATTTGCGTGAAATCAAAAAATGTTAATTGCTCAATTTCCATCTCTTTTTCTCTAAGATGAACCGGCCAAGTTTTTGAACAAAACCAGAGGTCCCATGGGATTGGCATCGTCCCTTAAAGGAGATCTTGAGCTGAGCTGCGAGGTATCTCCCGCCAGTGCGGTCGTTGTGTGGAAAAAAGATCAAGTGAAGATCATTGAGGACCAAAGAACTACCTTCATCTCCAAAGGGACTCAAAGGAAACTCATCATCAGGAATGCCAAGAAAAGTGACGAAGGACATTATTCATGTGAGACAGAAACAGACAAAGTCACATTCCAGGTCAAGATTAAAGGTAATCTATATGAAGCCTTTGTAGTGCTGTTTAACAATTGACTGCACATCACAGATATGAATTTCTTTATCTTATTTTTTTCTCAGAAACTCAAGCTGTAGCTGTGTTCTCCAACAAGGAGTCAGTCCAGAAGGAGGTGAAAGCTACTCTCTCCCAGAAAGCCACTCTTAGTTGCAATGTTTCAGACAGCAAGACAGAGGTGAAATGGTATAAAGACGGCAAGGTGTTGATATCCAGCAGGACGATATACTCAGAAGTAAAAGGCAACACTCGTCAGCTGGTGATTGAAAAGGTGGAGAAGGGCGATGCTGGAGAGTATACATGTGAAGCCGGAGGGGAGAAGCTGGCCTTCAGGTTATTTGTGTCAGGTAGGACTGCTCAGTTGATTAATTCATACATAAAATTTAATAAATATTATGTCTTTGTGCTGCTGTATTATTATGATTTGGTACACATTTAATTATCTTTGTACACAACATTAATAAGATGTAGCACTAATTTAGTGATTTATATGTCTCAAACAAGGCTTGATGAGGTTTGCTTGGGAGACTAAATAATTAAAGATGCCCTGAAGCATGCATCAGTTAAATGCCTCTTATATATTTCATCCATTGGTGATCCTAAACATGGCTCATAATGACACTGTTTCTTGTTAACATTACCTTCAGATTTTCAGTCAGCATTCTTCAACAAGGAGTCAGTCCAGAAGGAGGTGAAAGCCACTCTGTCTCAGAAAGCCTCCCTGAGCTGTGACGTAGCTGATACCAAGACAGAGGTGAAATGGTACAAGGATGGCAAGCTGCTGACTCCCAGCAAGACAATACACACAGAGTCGAAGGGTAAAAGTCGCCTGCTGGTGATCGAAAGTTTGGAGAGGAAGGATGCTGGAGAATACACGTGTGAAGCCGGGACTGAGAAGCTGGTCTTTAAAATGCAGGTGGAAGGTAAGAAGAATGCAGTATGTTTAATACCAAATGGCTTTTCTTTGTTTTTTTTTGAGCACATAGCATGTGAAGCATAAAGCCTAGATGCATATTAGGTAAAATCATGTTAATCAGTGTTAATTGCATTTTAATAAACATTAAATTATATATAGATAAAAATACCAAATAGAAAACCAAAATATTTACATGTATGTGTAAAATGTGTCACTCATTCTGATTTTAGAAACAGCAGTTTGATTAATAAACACTTAACATTTCAAAATTTGACTAAGGATAGACGATACATCGGCCGGCCGATATATCGGGCCGATATTTGAGTTTTTTACTTGTATCAGCATCGGCCGATACACGCGTGGGTTCGCGGATTAATTTTTCCCTGACGTGAGTTACAGACAGGCATCCACGACAGCTCTGTGTTGCCGGAAGACCCTGCAGCGCACATGCAGCGAATCCTACTGTGTACAGTAGTTGTTGTTTTATTTATGCTTCAGCTTAAATATTTGTTTATTTTATAAAGACATTACTGGAAGATTTAAGAGCACTGAACTCTTTTTTTATTTGAATGTATAATAATAATAATAATATTCTACCTGTTCTACCTCAACTTTCCATCTTGTTTTAGTATTTTTTACTGTTCAATAAATGTTTCTTATTTTAAACTTGAGACCTGTAATATTTGTTATCATTGTGTCATTTTTTTGATGTAAATTGAGGGAGCAAAAGCAGTATCGGCCCCAAATATCGGCTCAAGAAAATCGGCAGTCCATAATCGGTCATCGGCTAAGGGTGATGGAAAAAAATCGGTATCGGCATCGGCCCTAAAAAATCCATATCGGTCTATCCCTAAATTTGACACACAACACTATTTTACACCATTTAGTTTGAGAAACTGGTGAATATTTTGTGTTTTCTATTTGTGTCTGTGGCCTCCTCTGATAACATATCTGGCACACTTTGCTCAAATATCTATCCTCCAATACTGACTTGGATTCTCATGTTACTAGATGGCAATTTAAACATCGCAAATACTTTATGTTTTGTGGCCTGTATACACCACTAAGCTTCATGCTTTGCTTTCTTGAAGCATTTGTTTGCTGAGGCAGCTCTGGTGTCTTGTGGCTCTGTTGTGTGTCAGTTTCTGGTCCCAAATTCGGTCTTTTTCTTTCTCAGTGAATGGTTTTTGATATATTCATTGTGCCTCTGTAGCAACTTGGAGATGCCCGTTTTGCTTTTAATCACCGCAATGTTTGATGTTGATGTGCTTTAATAGAGCCTGTTGCTCTGTGCATTGCATCTGAAAAGGTTGGTTGTGTTTGCACAGGAAATCTAAAGTGGAGTGTGTGGTGTGGTTTATAGAGTCAAGTCTGTTTTTGTATGGGTAATTGTACTGCCACCACTCTCCTTTACAGGTACTACTACAGAAGTCCAAGCTAAATCTGCTTTCTGCAACAAAGAGTCTGTCCAGAGGGAAGTGAAAGCCACTCTCTCCCAGAAGGCCACTCTAAGCTGCGAGGTAGTCGATAACAAGACAGAAGTGAAATGGTACAAGGACGGCAAACTGCTGAGTGCCAGCAGAGCAGTTCACATGGAGTCAAAGGGCAAGATTCGCCAACTGGTGATCGACAGTGTGGAGAAGAAAGATGCAGGAGAATACATCTGTGAAGTTGGAACTGAAAAACTGGCATATAAATTGCAAGTGACAGGTACGAGAAGGGAATAGTAGACCAAAAACACCAATTTCTCTTGTTATATTTTGGCTTGTGTCACACTGACACAGTAGTTTTGCAATGTTGTAATGACTTGTTTTAGAATTAACGTGGCCAATGCCATGACATTCTCCGTTTTTCCTCTTGCAGAGATCCAACTCACGTCAGCCTTCTCCAACAAGGAGTCAGTCCAGAGGGAGGTGAGAGCCACTCTCTCTCAGAAAGCCATTCTGAGCTGTGAGGTAGCTGATACTAAGACAGAGGTGAAATGGTACAAGGATGGCAAGCTGCTGACTTCCAGCAAGACAATCCATACTGAGACGAAGGGCAAGAGTCGCCAGCTGGTGATCGACAGTGTGGAGAGGAAGGATGCTGGAGAGTACATCTGTGAAGCCGGGACTGAGAAGCTGGCTTTTAAGATACATGTGGCAGGTAGGAGGAATAAGATGTTGACAGTATTTCTGAGAGTATGCAAATATGAATGTATTTGTTTTGTAGAATTGTGTGTTTATTCTCCCATGTTTTCCTGTTTGGATACAATCATAAAGTGTGTTCATTGCTGGCTGAGAGGTTTTGGATGTATTCATGTATTTCAGCTTGATTGATTCAGCTTGTTTACATCAATTTTTTTCATTTGCTCTGCAGAAGCCCAAGCTGGCTTCTCCAACAAGGAGTCTGTCCAGAGGGAGTTGAAAGCTACTCTCTCTCAGAAAGCCACTCTTAGCTGTGAGGTTTCTGATTCCAAGACAGAGGTGAAATGGTACAAGGATGGCAAGCTGCTGACTCCCAGCAAAGCAGTCCACATGGAGACAAAGGGCAAGGGTCGTGAGCTGGTGATAGAAAAAATGGAGAAAAAAGATGCTGGAGAGTACACGTGTGAGGCTGGAACAGAGAAGCTGGTCTTTAAGCTGCAGGTGACAGGTAAAATAGATTTTAAATGTATCTAATTTTGCCACAAGATTTATGATTCTTGGCACAAATCACTGAAAAGAAGTGTTCACTCCTCCTTAGATGCAGCTGTCAAGTTCCAGAAGAAGACTGTCAAGGACACATGTGCTGTTCAAGCAAGTGAAAAAGTTGTTTTGACCACCGAGCTGACCTCAGAGAGCGGTAGTGTGAAGTGGTTTAGAGATGGTGTGGAGCTCAGGGAGGGCAGCAAGTATGAAATGAAAAAAGATGGCCTTTCTCGTACTCTGATAGTGAAATCCACCGAATCCAAAGACAGTGGAACATACACCTGTCAAACTGCTGACGACAAACTGGAGTTCAAAGTTCAAGTTAAAGGCAAGCCATAGAAACGTCTCTGACAATCTGATGATTGCTGTGTAGGCCTCTTCAGATGCCAGATTTTGTTTTGATGTCTCACTTTTCATTTCAGATTCAGCTTTGAAGTTTGTTGTCCCTTTGAAACCTGCTGCAGTGGAGTTGGGAGGTACACTTAGCCTGATGTGTGAACTAAATCAAGCCTCAGGGGATGTTGTCTGGCAGCGTAATGGTCGTGAGATTAAACCTGGGGGCAGGCACTGTATCAGGACAGATGGTGCTAAGCGGGTTCTCACTGTGACTGGCATGACTAAAGAAGATGAAGGAGAATACAGCTGTGAATGTAGAAATGACAAGACCTCTGCTAAAGTATCATCAAGAGGTAATTTATCATGTAATATAACTCAAAACATTCAAAGTTTCAGGATGGACACTTTTTTTCCCACATCATTTGATGTCACATGTTCCTTTCAGCACCCAGACTGGTGAGGCTGACCTCCAAACTGAACAATGTGGCTGCAATGGAGGGAAAAGACGCCATTTTCAAGTGCGCTGTCAACCCAGCGGACGTTAATGTTAATTGGTTCCACAACAGTGTACCTGTCACTGCTGGGCCCAAGTATAAGATTGAACGTGGTGGTGGCAGTCACTCGCTCACCATCACCTCTGTCACCCAAAAAGATGCTGGAGAGATTAGCATCGATGCAGAAGGCAAAACCTGCCAAGCTACCCTACAAGTGCAGCGTAAGAGCATGCATTTATCAATTAGATGTAGTTGTTTAGTATCCTAAGTAATGTCCTCATTAACTTTGACATTTCTTTGTGCTCAGATGAACCTGTGACATTTAAGAAGAAGCTAGAAAACCTGACAGTGGAGGAGCAGAGTGAAGTGAAGCTGGAGGTGGAGCTCAGTAAACCATCAGATGAAGTGAAGTGGATGAAGAACAGCGTAGTGCTGCAGCCCACAGGAAACATGGAGATCCGGGTAGACAAAGCTAAGCAGGCTTTGGTCTTCAAGAGTGTGACATACGCTGACCGGGGCATCTACTCCTGTGAAACTCTGGATGACAAAACCCAGGCCAAGCTCAATGTGGAGAGTAAGACTGATCTACGGTCACATTTTTTAGATGCAGTGTACTGTATTTAAGAACATTTCTTAACCCTAGAAAGAAAATGTCATTCTCCCGTAATGTGTGTGCGAATATACAGTTTCGAGTAACAAGCTAGGAAACCTTGCTTCCATGTTACGACTCAAACATTTTCTCCTCCTCCCTTCAGTGAAGAAGATCCAGGTAATAAAGGGCCTAACAGAAACCAAGGCACATGAGACAGAGACAGTAACTCTTGAAGTAGAACTCAGTCAGGCTGACGTTGAAGGCTTCTGGACCAGGGATGGGATCAAGTTGAAATCAGGGGTGTACTGCCGCATCACAGCTCTGGGAAAAAAGCACGCCTTAACATTGTCCAGTCTCAAGAGGGAGGATGCAGGGACTATTACCTTCCAAGCTGAAGGAGTACATAATTCTTGCAAATTGATTGTCACAGGTAAGTCAGCTGGTCTTTTTGGACAAAATCTCTATTTTTCTTCAACACCCATTCTGCCACAACAGTCGTCATTAAGTCACTTTTTGACTAACCTGTTGATCCTACAGAACCTCCTGCTATGATCTCCAAGCCCATTATGGATATGAGTGTTCCTGAGAAGGAGAAGGTAACTTTTGAATGCGAAGTGTCCAGAACAAATGCAGATGTCAAATGGTTCAAGGTAAGAAATTGTTATTTGGATTCAGTCTTCAGAGTGAAATTTAACAAATGTTACGTGCATATGTAACATTTTGATTTTAAATTAATCTGCAGGATGATGTGGAACTGAAACCAGGGAAGAACTTTGGCATGCACTCCTTGGGCCGAAAGCGCAGTTTGGTCATCAACAAATGCACCCCTGAAGATGCAGGCACATACATCTGCCGTACTCCTGATGATAACACCGCCGCCAAGCTCACTGTTCATGGTAACTAGTCCATACCCATTGAGTACAGCATACCATATCATGACTTAGTCATACCAAAAATTAGAAAAAAACCCAACAACATTGGTCCACAGGGGGAGTCACAGCGATCGGTCACATTTTAGTCATTTTGAAGCATTTTTCTGTTGTTATAGCGCCACCCAGTTGCCAATTAGAGTTAAATTTCTCCAGTCACCTTGAGGCGTCCTGTTCTACATATCTACCAAGTTTAGTAAAAATCCATATGGCGGTTAGGCCTGGATAAGAAATGAGCTCTCTAGCGCCCCCATTTTGTTTGATGGGGTCAATAATGGAGGGGTCCCCTCAGATTATGTGTGGTCATATGCCTACAAAGTTGCGTGGTGATGGGTGAAACCCTTGAGATGTTATACACCTTTATGTGATGAGCCACGCCCTCCGCAATATTCATTGCCTTATAGAAGCTCAGTTTTAGTAAGTTTTCCAACTTTTGCCAAGAGGGAACTTTAGATATTGGTCCCTAGATTATGTTCACCCAGTTTCATGCAGATCGCTTAAACTTCCTAGGAAGAGATCGATTTGAAGTGTTTTTCAAAAAATTCAAAATGGCGGAAAATCTATATAAGCGGAAGTTATGGGTTCTTGAGGCAAATGTGTTCCTCATGAGGAGAGGCATCTCTGTGCAAAGTTTCATGTCTCTACGACATACGGGGCATGAGATATGCCCATTCAAAGTTTGCAATTTCAATCGGTTGCTATAGCGCCCCCCTTTGGCCAATTGATGTAATATTGCTTCATTGGCATCCTCCCATGACCCTCTACCACTGTGCCAAATTTCACATGGATTGACCAAGTCAGTGAGGAGAAAAACGTGGAACAGACACACACACACACAGACAGAGTTTTTGTCATTATGTAGTAAGATTATTAGTCATGTGATGAAGCACACAAATCAAACTTGTACCAGTATTTAAGGTCTAGTATAACTATTTCCAGTATAAAGAAACATCTTGGAAATATTTTCCCTGCAGCCAGAGATATTAAGATTGTGAAGACGCTGAAGGATGTGGAAGTGATGGAGAAGGAGAGTGCTTCATTTGTCTGTGAAATCTCACATGATGAAGTGGACTGCCAGTGGTTCAAAGGAGGTGTCAAAGTCAAAGTCAGTGACAACATCAAGATGAGACAAGATGGTAAGGTCTTAAGAAAGTTGTACACCATGTATACACCTGCAGTTTTATAGGATTCACCTGAAACATGATTATCTACAAGCTGTCTATTTCTTATTCCAGGCAGAACCTACGTGCTGCTGTTTAGGTCTGTCACCCCAGAGGACATGGGTGAGATTAAATTCACAGCCGACAAGGCTTCTTCAACTGCAAAACTTAAAGTGAAAGGTAAACTAGTCTGCATTCTGTACTGAAATCACATAACAGTACATAATGTATATCGCTGCATGTATAAGCTAACCTTTATGTTACAATGTTCAGATGTGGTTGCAAATGGATTACTTCTATTCATTATGACAAAAGCTGTTAGAGTGTTGCAAATGTAATACCTCTGCACATTTTAAACCTTATTTTTCTCTAAATTAAAAACAACTGGGCTACTGTAAACAGAAGCTATACAGAGGTCTGCATGCAGACTGAAGATTCCTGATCTTTTTCTAAATTGACTTCAGCATCTCAACTGGTGTAGGGAGCCAAATGTAAAAGGTCAGACTAAAGTTAGATGAAATGTTGTTTTGCTAGAAGAGTAAACACAATGCATCATTCTGACAGTATTGGTGAGATAGAAAATCCACTTGCAATTTGCATTTACATTGTTATGCCTCATTGAGGCCTGATGGCAAAAGGAAACATAACTCTCATGGTGTTTTACCAGCTGAGGTTTAGGATTATTTTCAGGGGGTTTTGTCACAGCTTTAAGTCTTGATTGAATGTGTAGGTCTGTGCAGTGGTCTGTAGAGAAAGCATCATTGGTCCAATGCTCGTAGACATTTAGGGGTTGTTTAAAAATTGGAAATTATCAGGAGTATAAGAAAAAAATGAGCTCTGTCAAAATTCTATTAGAGGCACAAAGTCTGTGACAGACAAGAAGAATAATTTACTTCATCAGTTTCATCAACATGCACATGTTTCTATTATGTCAGTGTCTTGATGTATAAACAAGAATGACTGAGACACAGTAATTCCTATTTAATGTGGTGTCATTACAAGACTCTGGCTGTCTGCTTTAGCTTTTGCAGAACATGTTGGAGCTAATGCTGCATCAAGCACATCAACGTTCCATCACTTATTAGCTCCATTTGCTTTGGCGATAACATAATTCAGTTATGAACACTGCCTGTCCTATGGTGCGCTTAGGCACGGGCTTTGGCAAGGCCTTTGCTTTCACAGCCTTTCATCTTCCTTTGTGGCATACTTGATAGTTTTAATTGATTCAGTGTTATTGTTACTGTAGAACTGCCTGTCAAGTTTGTGAAGAGGCTCAGGGATAAGATAGCGATGTATAAGCATCGTGGTCATCTTGAATGCCAAGTGTCACGCACCAGCGCAAAGGTGAAGTGGTACAAGAGCAAGACGGAGATCAAACACGGCAAGAAGTACGAGATCAAAAGTGAAGACGTGTACAGAAAGCTCACCATCAATGATGTGGACTCCGAGGATGAAGACACCTATACTTGTGATGCCATTGATGACAAGACATCCTGTAAACTACTTGTGGAAGGTAACATGATGGAAGATGACAAAGGTTGACCGAAGCTTAATGTCAGGTTTATCAGCTGTAGGGCATTTATGTATATCATCGTAAATTACTGTATCTATCCAAGTATTTATGCAAGACAAGCCATCAGACTCTTGAGGTGTCTGTCTGTACAGTATATCTGTCTGTCTATCTATCTATCTATCTATATCTATCTATCTATGTATCTATGATTACGTATTATACTAATAGAAAATACAGGAATATTATGTTGATTAATGTCTTGGTCATTTTGGAACAAGCCTGACCTACTAAATGAATTAACATAGTAATTGGTATTTCAAATTATGTGTGCAACAAAATAACAAAGCTGTATTACTGCTGCAGGTGAAGTAACCACACAGGTATTGTCAGTCATTCTGATGGAGTAAAGCTCTGCTCAGGTTGAAGCTGGGTAGGAAATACATGAGGTCATTACAGCAAAGTCCATGGAGCAAGAATAGGACTTTTTCATAGAGAATATCTGGACATGTCACAGCAGAAACAGTACAGATGTAAATTAATAATGGCTGAATTCCATTTAGCTACTTGGGTTTCAGGGGTCCTGGCACTGTGCGTGCTGGCTCACTGTTGCATTGTCATGGCTGCCAGAGACAGCTGAATATAAAGAAGTTATCTTTTATTTTTGTGCTTTTCCTGATGCAACAAGTCAGATTCTGTGCTGTATTCCTGTCCTGGCAAGTTCAACAAAACAAACAAGAGAGTGAGAAGTCCAGTCCTTGCCGAGGATTCTCATTGGACACTGATTTGCACTGCATGTGCAGTAATAGTGGTACACTCTATATAATTCATGTGTCTTGTTTTCATTTATTGCAAGTCAATTGTATGGTTTTGAACACATATTACTAAAAATAAATTATCATATTAGATGCAGATAATATTGAGGATAAACTGCAACACCCCAAAGAATCCCCATAACCTAAAACACAGTTCATAGAGTTATAAAACACAGACCCAATTTGGCGTTATGGGTGCACTTGTTGGGAGTTTGGTAATATTTAGGCACTGCTAATAAATCAGACAGAGAGTTGCGCGTGGCTTACTGTAGATCATTGACTGCAAAGATACTGTATATTGGCCAGGCCAGTATTAGCTTTTTGCAGATACAGTACAGGCCAAAAGTTTGGACACACCTTCTCATTCAATGCGTTTTCTTTATTTTCATGACTATTTACATTGTAGATTCTCACTGAAGGCATCAAAACTATGAATGAACACGTGGAGTTATGTACTTAACAAAAAAAGGTGAAATAACTGAAAACATGTTTTATATTCTAGTTTCTTCAAAATAGCCACCCTTTGCTCTGATTACTGCTTTGCACACTCTTGGCATTCTCTCCATGAGCTTCAAGAGGTAGTCACCTGAAATGGTTTTCCAACAGTCTTGAAGGAGTTCCCAGAGGTGTTTAGCACTTGTTGGCCCCTTTGCCTTCACTCTGCGGTCCAGCTCACCCCAAACCATCTGGATTGGGTTCAGGTCCGGTGACTGTGGAGGCCAGGTCATCTGCCGCAGCACTCCATCACTCTCCGTCTTGGTCAAATAGCCCTTACACAGCCTGGAGGTGTGTTTGGGGTCATTGTCCTGTTGAAAAATAAATGATCGTCCAACTAAACGCAAACCGGATGGGATGGCATGTCGCTGCAGGATGCTGTGGTAGCCATGCTGGTTCAGTGTGCCTTCAATTTTGAATAAATCCCCAACAGTGTCACCAGCAAAACACCCCCACACCATCACACCTCCTCCTCCATGCTTCACAGTGGGAACCAGGCATGTGGAATCCATCCGTTCACCTTTTCTGCGTCTCACAAAGACACGGCGGTTGGAACCAAAGATCTCAAATTTGGACTCATCAGACCAAAGCACAGATTTCCACTGGTCTAATGTCCATTCCTTGTGTTTCTTGGCCCAAACAAATCTCTTCTGCTTGTTGCCTCTCCTTAGCAGTGGTTTCCTAGCAGCTATTTGACCATGAAGACCTGATTCACGCAGTCTCCTCTTAACAGTTGTTCTAGAGATTGGTCTGCTGCTAGAACTCTGTGTGGCATTCATCTGGTCTCTTATCTGAGCTGCTGTTAACTTGCGATTTCTGAGGCTGGTGACTCGGATGAACTTATCCTCAGAAGCAGAGGTGACTCTTGGTCTTCCTTTCCTGGGTCGGTCCTCATGTGTGCCAGTTTCGTTGTAGCGCTTGATGGTTTTTGCGACTCCACTTGGGGACACATTTAAAGTTTTTGCAATTTTCCGGACTGACTGACCTTCATTTCTTAAAGTAATGATGGCCACTGGTTTTTCTTTAGTTAGCTGATTGGTTCTTGCCATAATATGAATTTTAACAGTTGTCCAATAGGGCTGTCGGCTGTGTATTAACCTGACTTCTGCACAACACAACTGATGGTCCCAACCCCATTGATAAAGCAAGAAATTCCACTAATTAACCCTGATAAGGCACACCTGTGAAGTGGAAACCATTTCAGGTGACTACCTCTTGAAGCTCATGGAGAGAATGCCAAGAGTGTGCAAAGCAGTAATCAGAGCAAAGGGTGGCTATTTTGAAGAAACTAGAATATAAAACATGTTTTCAGTTATTTCACCTTTTTTTGTTAAGTACATAACTCCACATGTGTTCATTCATAGTTTTGATGCCTTCAGTGAGAATCTACAATGTAAATAGTCATGAAAATAAAGAAAACGCATTGAATGAGAAGGTGTGTCCAAACTTTTGGCCTGTACTGTATGTCTGTATCAATGTACATGTTGGCTTATAAGTAACAGTAACAGTGTTTCTGTTACATAGTTTGTCCAGCAGAGAGCCCCCACACATTTATTTGTCAACAGTAATATGTCCTGCTTAGTTTGTATCTTGGTCACAATGGAAAAAAAGACCAAATCTAAGAGATCTATATTAAAATTGACCAATATGCTTGTGAGATTTTTTTCACCTCAAAAATCAGTGTTGGTTGTGCTGCACTATACATTACTACTTAACATTTTTCAAAGGATGCTACAGTTTTTTTCTCACCCTTTTAAATAACAAAAAACAAAGTTGCTCAGTCATGTATTACTTATCTCAAGTTCCTGCAAGTTGATTTTTACAGCACACAAAAATATTTGTTGCCAGCATTTCTTAATTTCTGACCACAAGTGGAGTGTTTGGCAATAATGTCAACTAAATGAGATTTTGCAATTTGATATGGATCTTAAAAAAAAGGCTAAACCCATATTGTGGTCTTTTACTATTAAATCATGACATTGACTTTAAGTAAACCACTCTCTTTTCATGTACCCTCCAGAGCAGTCCATCAGCATTGTACGGGAGCTTAGTTCGGTAGAAGTGACCGAACCCTTTGCAGCTGTTTTTGAAGTTGAAATCAGTATGGAACTGGTGAAACCTCCTATATGGACTCTGAATGGAGTTGCTGTGCAGGAGAGTGTTGATGTTGAAATGGAGAAAGAGGGAACTCTGCACCGTCTCACTTTCAAAAAGACCAAAACATCAATGACAGGACCTGTGCAGTTTACAGCTGGGAAGAGCAAATCTTTAACCCAGCTCACAGTCAAAGGTAAATGTGTCGAATCACATTTATACAGCAGTTGGCCACAATAACTTGTGAACTGTGATACTGTTGTAGCTAAACATATCCTGAGTATTTAAGTGTATTTTTATTCTGTTCCTCACATTTAGAGCGTCCGCTTGAGATTGCAGAGCCCATGAAAGATGTGAAAGCTAAGGAGAAAAGCTCTGCTATACTCAGCTGCAAATTTTCTGTTGCACCCAAAGAGGTTCATTGGTTCAAAGGTCAGGTACCTCTAGCGGCGTCAGACAAGTATAACATGAAGCAAGATGCTACAAGGGCTCAACTGACCATTCACAAGCTGACTGAAGAAGACAGTGGAGAGTACCGCTGTCAGTCTGGACCTGCTGAGACCAAAGGCAAACTTACTATTGAAGGTACAGTATGGACCTTTGAATACCACATAGAATACAGCAATTGTGTGTATTTTCTTATTAAATCCATCACACACACAAATGCAGTTTAACACTGGTCTTCAAACTAAAACTCATGATTCTTCTGTCCAGTGCGTGAAATCAAGATCACTAAGCACTTGGCAAACGCAGAGGTTGATGAAGACAGCGACGCACTGTTCACATGTGAGATTAACTATCCAGATGAAGAGGTACAGTGGCTTCTGAATGACAAGGTGCTCTTCACAAATGAGGTCAACACCATCACCCATGATGGGAAGGTTCACACGCTCAAACTGAAGAACTTGGCACCTCAGGATGGGGGGACTATCACTTTTCAAGTCCGCAAGGTGAAAGAGTCTGTGACACTTAAGGTTAAAGGTAAGAACAGTCATGCGCTTTGTTTATAAGCACACGAAAAATTGTGACTACATGCGTGATCATACTCTGATTGGAATATTTGGTCGTTAGTCACATTTCTCCCCTATTATACCTCAAAACTGTACCGGCATTTGCTCTGAAAATCACGTCTGTATAAATGCTGTCAGTGTGGATTACCCCAGTCCACCCAAAAGATGAGGACATAATATATCCTTCAATCAATCTTTATTTTCTCAATTCCCCTCCAGAGAAGCGTGCTGTGTTCCTCAAGTCCTTAGATGATGTCATTGGAGAGGAGAAAGGCATGATAACTCTGGCGTGTGAGGCGTCCAAGCCCAGGGTTTCTCCCACATGGAGAAAAGAAGGTAAAGTCTTGAAGGCTGGATCAAAGTACGAGCTCCTTCACACGGGCAAGTCTTTGGGGCTGATCATCAAAGACGTCACCAAAGAAGATGCTGGAGAGTACAGTTGTGATCTTGGAACTGAGGTTTCTAAAGCAAAGGTCACTGTAAGAGGTTGGTACAGCTGTTTACAGCGTTAGCCTTCATACATATGGTATATTTTGACATCTTCACCAACTTATGCTCTCTGTCCCGAATTTAGAAATTGGCATTGGAATTACCAAATGGCTGAAGTCAGCTGAGGTGAACGAGGGAGAGACATGTAGCTTTGAGTGCATCTTATCTCGTGAGAGCACAGACGAGTGTTCCTGGACTCTCAACGGCCGCACTATTACTGATGGAGGCCGCTTCAAAATCACCAGTAAAGGACGCAAGTACATGCTGACCATTAAGGATGTCACTCCTGCTGATGCTGGAGAGGTGGTATTCAACATTAAAGACCTGAGCTCCAAAACAACATTAACAGTTGAAGGTAAGCTACATACATAAGAGGCGTAGACAAAGTAACAAAAATATTAAGGTATTAAAATAAACATGTTATGATCTCTTTTTGCAGGAAAAGCTTCATCTGTGTCAAAGGGACTACAGAATGTTAAAGCTGATCGTGGGGAAGATGCTGTTTTTATCTGTGAGGTGACACAGGCTAGTTCCACTGTAAAGTGGGCCAAGGAGGGCAAAGCCATCAAAAAGAGCCAGAAGTATGGCATCACCCAAGAGGGCAGGGTTATGAAGTTGACAATCCATAATGTCTCTGCTCAAGACTCTGGAGAGTACAGTTGTGAAGTTGTTGGAGGTGCAACCACTAAAGCCAAGCTGGAAATCAAGGGTAAGACTAAAAATTCGGATTTAACTTCTTCCATCTTACTGCACTTTTCATTTTTGACAGTGTGAGAGCATTTATGAGACTTATTTATGACAACAAAGATCATGGTAAAAAGCTAATCACTTTAATTACTAAATATAGAATCAGTCCATGGATAATGTGATTATTTTATTTTATTTTTTTTACAGAGCCAATTCACGAATTCACCAAACTGCTAAAGGACAGCCAAGCAGTGGAGAAGAGCTCTGTGACCCTGCAGTGTGAGACTGCACAAACTCCATCCACTGTGATCTGGCTTAAAGGTCACACAGAGCTCAAGGCTGGAGGTCGATATGAGATGTCCCAGAAGGAGGGGGTCTTAACTCTCACCATCAAACACCTGGAGGAGAAAGACACCGATATCTACACTTGTGACGTGGGCACAGCCAAGGGCATGGCAAAGGTGACAGTCAACGGTAAGAACTTAACTATGTTTGGGGTAAGTTTTGGTTTTGCAGAGCTGATTGAAGAGTGATTTGTCTTGACAATTTCCCTGTTGATGTATTTTTCAAGGTATTTGAGGTCAATGAGATGAGTTCCATATTGACTTTGCTCATAGTTTGATTTTGCTTTAAAGGTCAGCTGATGGTTATTCTGCAAAAAAACACAGGATAGTAATTGTTTTGAAGGGGAATCTGCGAAATTTGTTTGCCGTACATACATGTTCTAGAGGGGGGGTTTCACTCTCTTACTGTAAGAGAGCTAACTGCCAGGGACATAGGCACCATCTGTGCTTGCTGGGCATCATAAAGTATATGCATCCCTTGTTGTCAAAGGTAACTGACACCACGTCCAGTCAAATCTATCCACTGTACGGTTCAGATTTGTTAAAAGTACCATAAATTAGGCTGAATTGTTACTAAATCCTCTGTATTTTCGTAATAGAATTGTGTTTCTAGTATTCTGCATTGAGTGTATTTACTGAATGATTTGCTTTGCCCCTTTGTTTTATTCGCCACTGTAGCACTCTTTCCTATTTGTTTTGTGTGATTAAGATTGTTTGCACGTCTACAAAGTGTGAATGATACCCTCCAGCATGTGCAAATGTTTCAAAGCGACCTGTTCCTAAATGCATTGTCTTGTTAAGTGAGTACTGCACATTGTATAATTATAATTGGTAATCCTTTGTGCATTTCAATAAGGACATAATTTTGCTGTATTGCAATGAGAGAATTTGTTTTTTCATTAAAGTGCACTGTTAGCATAACCTTCACCAAAAGCAACATCAGCCCAGCTCTTGGAATAACATCTGGGTTCCACAGACTAACGTTGGACGACTGGAGCACGACAACTCATACATCTTCTTCGCCTCTACTCACTTTCCATTCTCCATCACAACCCAACAAAACGCAGCCCCCTGTTCTATATAATCAAGCCATTGTTCATTTTGTTTTAGCCCTGCCTGCCACTTTTCAAGAGATGCTCAAGACCCAGGAGAAAAAGGAGGGGGAGACTGCGACGCTTTGCTGCAAGTTATCCAAACCTGTGGACAGTGTTCAGTGGAAGAAAGGCTCTGAAGTTCTTCAAGCTGGAAAGAAGTATGAGATGAAGCTGGAGGAGATCCGATGTGAGCTTCAGATTAAGAATCTAGAGGTTGAAGATAATGGAGAGTATTCTTGCGTGTGTGGAGACCAGAAGACTTCTGCAACAGTGAAAGTCAATGGTATGGACTCATGAAGTCTTTTTGGCAAGATTCTGTTGTATTTCCCAAGGAGTTCAACTTCTGTTACCTTTGTTGTGTTTGTTGAAACTATTTATTTCACCTGATTTTGAAATGAAACTTGGTTGTACAGCATTGCCGCCAACCTATATAAAGAAGCTGGAGAGCCAGGAGGCTGAGGAGGGAGCCAGTGTTACTCTGCACTGTGAGCTCTCTAAACCTGGAGTCCCAGTGGAGTGGAAGAAGGGAACACAGGTCCTGACGTCTGGAGAAAAGTACCAGATGAAGCAGAAGGCCTCTGTGACTGAACTGGTGATCAACAAAGTGGTGCCAGAAGACAGTGGAGACTACAGCTGTGTGTGTGGAGACCAGAAGACCACAGCCAGCCTCAAGATCAAGGGTAGGAAGAAGATTTTTGAAGAATCGGTCTGAGTAGTAACATATTTAAATTATTATTATATTATTAAAATGTATATTACAGCTTCTTATATGTGCTTATTGAGACTAGTTTGTTTTTCTACATGCCAAACCTGGAGTTCTGTGTTTATGTATTTGTATATTTTATGTCATGGCATGCCGCTGACTGCTAACCTGCTAATAAATGCTCAGCCCAACCAGTGACCTTCAGAGAGAAGCTGGAGAGCCAGGAGGCTGAGGAGGGAGCCAGTGTTACTCTGCACTGTGAGCTCTCTAAACCTGGAGTCCCAGTGGAGTGGAAGAAGGGAACACAGGTGCTGACGTCTGGAGAAAAGTACCAGATGAAGCAGAAGGCCTCTGTGACTGAACTGGTGATCAACAAAGTGGTGCCAGAAGACAGTGGAGACTACAGCTGTGTGTGTGGAGACCAGAAGACCACAGCCAGCATCAAGATCAAGGGTAGGAAGAAGATTTTTAAAGCTCCAGTCCATGGAATGTTTTTAAGAACTGTATAGAGGAGCCCTTTGTATGTGCTTATTTAGACAGGTTGGTTTTTCTGCATGTTATCATGGGTTTGCAAATTGTCAGTGTGTGTTCTTGTGTTCTGCGTTTATGTATTTGTATATTTTATGTCATGGCATGCCGCTGACTGCTAACCTGCTAATAAATGCTCAGCCCAACCAGTGACCTTCAGACAGAAGCTGGAGAGCCAGGAGGCTGAGGAGGGAGCCAGTGTTACTCTGCACTGTGAGCTCTCTAAACCTGGAGTCCCAGTGGAGTGGAAGAAGGGAACACAGGTCCTGACGTCTGGAGAAAAGTACCAGATGAAGCAGAAGGCCTCTGTGACTGAACTGGTGATCAACAAAGTGGTGCCAGAAGACAGTGGAGACTACAGCTGTGTGTGTGGAGACCAGAAGACCACAGCCAGCCTCAAGATCAAGGGTAGGAAGAAGATTTTTAAAGCTCCAGTCCATGGAATGTTTTTAAGAACTGTATAGAGGAGCCCTTTGTATGTGCTTATTTAGACAGGTTGGTTTTTCTGCATGTTATCATGGGTTTGCAAATTGTCAGTGTGTGTTCTTGTGTTCTGCGTTTATGTATTTGTATATTTTATGTCATGGCATGCCGCTGACTGCTAACCTGCTAATAAATGCTCAGCCCAACCAGTGACCTTCAGACAGAAGCTGGAGAGCCAGGAGGCTGAGGAGGGAGCCAGTGTTACTCTGCACTGTGAGCTCTCTAAACCTGGAGTCCCAGTGGAGTGGAAGAAGGGAACACAGGTCCTGACGTCTGGAGAAAAGTACCAGATGAAGCAGAAGGCCTCTGTGACTGAACTGGTGATCAACAAAGTGGTGCCAGAAGACAGTGGAGACTACAGCTGTGTGTGTGGAGACCAGAAGACCACAGCCAGCATCAAGATCAAGGGTAGGAAGAAGATTTTTAAAACTCCAGTCCATGGAATGTTTTTAAGAACTGTATAGAGGAGCCCTTTGTATGTGCTTATTTAGACAGGTTGGTTTTTCTGCATGTTATCATGGGTTTGCAAATTGTCAGTGTGTGTTCTTGTGTTCTGCGTTTATGTATTTGTATATTTTATGTCATGGCATGCCGCTGACTGCTAACCTGCTAATAAATGCTCAGCCCAACCAGTGACCTTCAGACAGAAGCTGGAGAGCCAGGAGGCTGAGGAGGGAGCCAGTGTTACTCTGCACTGTGAGCTCTCTAAACCTGGAGTCCCAGTGGAGTGGAAGAAGGGAACACAGGTCCTGACGTCTGGAGAAAAGTACCAGATGAAGCAGAAGGCCTCTGTGACTGAACTGGTGATCAACAAAGTGGTGCCAGAAGACAGTGGAGACTACAGCTGTGTGTGTGGAGACCAGAAGACCACAGCCTGCATCAAGATCAAGGGTAGGAGAATTTGTGATTTAAATCACAGTGCATTAAAGTGTATTAAAATGAGTATTTGTAATGTAGAAAAACATATTTTCCTGTAGTAACATGTTTTTTATTTGTGTCACTGCAAGAGATGGGTTGTTCAGATTGAGTCATCAATTATTTTTCAAACACTGATGTGTAATTGATAGGAGGAATGTTTGTGTTACACTTTTATTTTTTTTTATCATGACTGAAGTGCTTGTATTTAAGCTTTTGCTATGACATTTCTGTTGCTGTCTCTTTGTTTTTTGTTTAGCTCAAAAAAATGTCAGCATTTTCTGTGGGTGTCTCACATCAGATTCATCCGATGTTTTCTTCATTTGCATGTGGTTGGATGTCTTTGCCTGGATTGCTCTGTGTGTCTGCACTGTTTTGATCTTTTCTTTAGAAGACTTGTTTATTACTTCTTTCACATGTTTATTCTTATTGTGTTTTTGAGATTACAAAACAGACCAAAGGTTAATGCAGACAAACTGACAATACAGTTTGTCAGACTGTTTGTCGCAACGTTTTTGTGCATCTTATGTTTTAGTTTTTATTGGTAGTAGTGTTGACTTTTCACAGTGTTTGTATTCTGGTCCATAAACTCTTGTTGTTCATGTTATATTGTTGTTATCAGCTGCATTTATGGTCCTTGCTGATTCCCGTTCGCAATTGTTTTAATTTACAAGTTTTAAGTCATTTTGTCAGGTAGTATTTTGATTTTAATTATGATGGTAAAGTAGATGATCAAGTATGCTACAGCGTCCTGAACTGAACTTGTTTCCTCTCAGCTCTGAAGCTGGCAGCCCCTCCTTCAGCCACTAAACGGGAAGCTAAGAGGCAAGAGACCAGAGAAACTATGGAAGGTATGGAGGGAAGACTGCAGTGCGCTGGCTTGAGTTTCAGCTTTATGTGCTCTGTCCGTCTTGATAACGGCCTTTGTGTTGCCATGTGCAGCCTGCCCTTAAATTGCGCCTGTACCTCTTGGCCTATATAGGTTATGATAAGTGTATTCTTGCCACATTATTTCTTTCTGGTTTACTAGATTATTTAGAATGCAGCTTTGCTCTGGTTTGTCAAATGTTTCTTCAGTCCTATAGTAGGATTGTGTTTTGCAGTTTTTATGTGGGCCTTTTGTATCAGTGTTGTATTGCAGTATATGTGGCATAAGCAGCTCATTTAAAAAACAGAACGAAGAAATAAGGACCCTTGTTTTTGTGCCAGTTGTGCTGGTCAAGTGTTTGAGAATGATACCTGTTGTTGGCTGGTGTTTACATACGTATACTTTACTTGGGTCTGGCATGACTCGTTGTCTTTTACATTATATTTATGTGGTTTAAATAGACTGAAAGTCTTTAAATGAGTAGCAGTTTTACAGACTGTGCTCAGGAGTTCATATTAAATACTGTAGGTGTGGCAGTGCTTGTTGTTGCCATTATACTTTATGCAGCATTTCTATGTCCTATCATATTTGCATTTCAGCCAAGACCCCTGAAGCTCCTTCCGTAGCAACTAAAGACAAGCAGAAGAGGCAACAGATATATGAGACAGTAGAAGGTAATTCTCTGAGGATTCTTGGCTTTGCTTGGTTATCTGGCCAATGTGCATTTGTAATATTTAATGCAAAGTATTGCTTTGTTAAGCCAAAGGTGAGAAACTGTCACCATGTCTTGGCTGCTGACTGCTGTTAGACAGAAACTTGCTGGGTAATGAATTGGTGTATGCTGTGTCTTGGTGCTTCAAGAGGGAACTGCTTTAAGGCTAAATATGGTTTTAACCTTTATATCAGCTAACATGCCTGAGCTAAACTATGGTATTTCATCTGCCTTCTGGTAAATGTGGCTTTGTAATTCACTTGTTAAATGCCATGATGTGTCATTTTTGGGGCTCGCGCTTTTATTGTGGAAAAAAAGCATTGTTTCAACAGCGGTGGATTTCTCTTGTCTCCGGATTACTTTGTTGCATAGAGAATGGCTTATGGAGAATGGCTTTTCCCATCAGCTGTTATTAAATGTAGCTAAGGCTATCCAAAGGCAATGTAAAATTGTGGGTGTAATGTTTTGTTCAACTTCATAGCTGTGACACTGCCAACTACTGAACAGACTCCCAAACAGCAGCTCCTCAAACAGGAGATTCAGAGAGATATTCAACAGCTCAAAGAGGGAGGTGAAGGTAATGAGGCACATGTTTGCATGGCATTTGTTAAATACTGTGGCAGCTGTCAGTACTCAAAGCATGGTCATTATTTGTTTCATTCCAGATATAATTTCAAGCTTCAGTATGGGTTTACTGTCTGTGCAGTTATGTTGCCTGGTGAATGTGGAAAATGTGTTTCAGACAGAAACTTGTTGGGTCATGAAAAGTGTGTATTGTTGCTTCAAAAAGGAACTGCTTTATAGTTTTACCTTACCTTTACAGTTTTAAGATATCTTGTGCTATTTAATTTGCCTGCTGGTAAATGTGGCTTTTTTATTCCCCTGTTAAATGGCATGATCTGTGTCATATTTGTGCTTCTGTTGTGTTGCCTGGGTCCAGACTAGTGTTGGAAATATACTGGAATTTCATACTTCGAGGGTAAACAATTTAAAAGTTGTATTAAAGAAGATGGAGACAAAGTATAATGAGTTGACAGCTCTGCTTGTCTGTCCCATCAGCTGTTATTACATGTAGCTCGTGCTGTCCTGAGACAGTTTCAAATTGTGGGTCTAATACTGTGTTCAATTTCATAGCTGTGACACTGCCAACTGCTGGACAGATTGCTAAACAGCAGCTCCTCAAACAGGAGATTCAGAGAGACTCTGGAGAGCTCAAAGTGGGAGGTGAAGGTAATGAGGCACATATTTGCATGGCATTTGTCAGATACTGTGACACCTGTCAAAAATGAGTCCAGTTCTGAATTGTATGATGAACATTTTGATGATATATGTTTATGGCACTTTGGCAGCACTGTGTTGGATTGCTGCTGCTGCTTACCCTCGTTTTCACACTCACTGTATGGACATCAACATATTTAATATAATATAAAGACATTTGTCAGTATGATTTGTAGACAGGGTGAGTTGTAAACGGGACACTTGACTGGTTGTACTGTGTCATGTGTGTTTATATGTGCTTTACTGCCTTGGATTTGTTGTTGTTGTCGTCAAGTTATAGTTCTTGGCTGCTGACCGGTTTTATCAGACAGCTTAATTGTGTCTTGTTGCTTGAGCCAGAATAGAGTCGAGTGTTCATATACAAGGAATTTGAGTTAGGTTTTTTTTTTTGTTGCTTTTCAATGTACAAACAAAGAAATAGGTATAAAGTTAAAACAAGGACAACAAAGCTAAACAGGTAATCATAAATATTTGCCTTCTGTATATTAGGGGTGGGAAACACCAATGGCTCCACGCTACGATATTATCATAATACCTTATATTATTGTAATTTTGAATGTGTTGCAATATGCTGAGTATTGCTATAAAATATGTAGTGATATATTGTGATTTATTATCTGTTTTTTAACTGTAAACTTTGTCCCCCAAAGGAAAACTTTGTCAACATTTGTATTATCTAATAAGATGAAGTTTTTTAGTCTGTTCATCTCACTTCAGTCATTTTATTTGCAGCAAAATGTATGTAATAGACTGAAAAAGCAATTGATTCTACTAATTAAGTAGGCTACCTAAATTTTCATTTGTATTTGTAATATAATAACATTCATGTTAACAACATTCAATAACAACATATTGAAATTGTAAACATGAATACAAGAGGAAGGAAAATTGCTGTAAGGCAAAATATGTTTTTTACCCTACTGTTATATTTTTGAGCTAACCTGTGTTATTTCATCTGCCTGCTGGTAAATGTGGCTTTGTTATTCTTCAGTTAAATGCCGTGATCTGTGTCATATTTGAGGCTTGTGCTGCTATTGTGAGAAAAAAAGATTGTTTCAGTCTCAACATCTGTGGGTTTCTGGTGTGTCTTGTGATTTTGTCGAGTGGAGAATGCCCTATTAATATGGATTTCAATTTCAAATCGTGGGTCCTATGTTTTGTTCAACATCATAGCTGTGACACTGCCAACTGCTGGACAGATTGCTAAACAGCAGCTCCTCAAACAGGAGATTCAGAGAGACTCTGGAGAGCTCAAAGTGGGAGGTGAAGGTAATGAGGCACATGTTTGCATGGCATTTGTTGGATACTGTGACACCTGTCAATACTGTAAGCATGGTCAGTGTTTGTTTTATTTCAGATGTAATTTCAGGCTTCAGTTTGGACTTGCTGTCTGTGCAGTTATGTTGCTGGTGGATGTGAAAAATATGTAAAGAAGCTGGCCTTTGATTTCTTGTCAGCCCTCACATTTGTTGATGTTCTGTCGGTTGCATTTTGTGGCACATTGTCCAGTTGTTGTAATGCTTTGTTGACTCCAGTTCTGAATGTTGAACATGTTGATGCTGTATGTTTATGGCACTTTGGCAGCACTGTGTTGGATTATTGATAATGATCTGTGACAGGAGAGAGAGGCTTTATTTGTCTTTGCTTGTAGCTTTATTGATTTTGATTCTGTTCTCACACATACTGCATATCCTCGTTCTGACACCCACTGTATGGGCTTCAACATATTTAATCTAACACAAAGATATTTTTCAGTATGCCATGTTGTAAACAGGCGGCACTATACTGGTACTGGGTCATTTGTGTCTAATCTATATGTGCTTTCCTAACTGGTTTGTTGACGTCTTCAAATTATAGTGCTTGGCTGCTGACCTGTATTATCAGGCAGGAACTTACTGGCTCATAAATAATCTTTCATTGTGTCTTCTTGCTTTTAGAAGGAAATGTTTTAAGGCGAAATACTGTTTTACCCTCCTTTTATATTTTTGAGCTAACCTGCATTTTTTTCATCTGCCTGCGTGTAAATGCGGCTTTTTTATTCAGCTGTTAAATGTCATAATATGTGTCATGTTTGGGGCTTGTGCTACTATTGTGTTTACTTGGTCCAGACCTTAAAATCTGCTGGCTCCACTGAGTTAACTGCAGAATGAAACGGAGTGTAACAAGTTGACAGTTCAGTCTGATATCAGGCAAGCTATTGTTAGGACACAAGATTATTTCAGTCTCAATTTCTTTGGATTTCTGTTGCCTTTAGGTTACTTTGCTGCATGGAGATGGACGTCTTGGTATGGAGACATGTCTTTGTTCCCATCAGCTGTTATTCCATGCAGCTAGGGCTGTCCTAAAGCATTTTTAAATTGTGGATTCAATGTTTTGTTTAATTTCATAGCTGTGACACTGCCAACTACATCTAAACAGCAGCTCCTCAAACAGGAGATTCAGAGAAACTCTGGAGAGCTCAAAGTGGGAGGTGAAGGTAATGAGGCACATGTTTGCATGTTTGCAGTTGTTGGATACTGTGACACCTGTCAGTACTGTAAGGTGTAAGCATGGTTGGCATCTGTGTTATTTTAGGTGTAATTTCAGGCTTGTAGAAAAACATAATTAACAAGAGGGAAGAAGTGGATAGATGGAGGGAGTAGGCAGCTCAGTTTGGATTTACTGTCTGTTGCCTGATTATGTATAAAATATATAAAAAAGCTGGCCTTGATTTCTTGTTAGTCCTTGGGTATGTTGATGTTCTGTCAGTTGCATTGTGTGGCACATACTGTGTTTTGTCCAGTTGTTGTAATGCTTTATTTACTCCAGTTCTGAATGTTGAACATGTTGACCCTGTATGTTTATGGCACTTGGGCAGCACTGTGTTGGATTGCTGCTGTGTGTTGGATTATTGGTAATGATCAGTGGGGGAAGATTGAGGCTTTAATATTTTTTGTTTGTGGCTTTTTTGATTTTGATCACTTTCCTTTATCACATATTCTGCTTGCCCTCATTTTCACACTTTCTGTATGGATTTCAACATATTTATATAACATGGGGACATTTGTCTGAATGTCAAGTTGTAAACAGGTGATAGACTGGTTGTCATTTGTGTCTATATATGCTTTACTGACTCTTGTTGTTGTCTTAAAGTTAAAGTTCTTTGCTGCAGTGCTTACCATTGTGTCTTCTTGCTTCAGAGAGGAATTGCTTTACAGCAAAATATGGTTTTACCCTATTATATTTTTGAACTAACCTGTTTAACTTCATCTGCCTGCTGGTAAATGTGACTTTGTTATTCCCCCGTTAAATGTCATGATCTGTGTCATATTTGGGGCTCATGCTACTATAGCGAGAAAAAAAGATTGTTTCAATCTGGTGCGTCTTGTGATTTTGTCGAGTGGAGAATGATTTACTGATATGGAGACATGTCTTTTTCCTCTTCAGCTGTTACTACATGTATCTAGTGCTATCCTAAGGCGATTTCAAATTGTGTTTCCCATGTTTTGTTCAACATCATAGCTGTGACACTGCCAACTGCTGGACAGATTGCTAAACAGCAGCTCCTCAAACAGGAGATTCAGAGAGATGCTGGAGAGCTCAAAGTGGGAGGTGAAGGTAATGAGGCACATGTTTGCATGGCATTTGTTGGATACTGTGAAATCTGTCAATACTGTAAGCATGGTCGCCATTTGTGTTATTTCAGGCGTAATGTCAGGCTTCACTTTGGATTTACTGTCTGTGCAGTTATGTTGCTGGTGGATGAGAAAAATATGTAAAGAAGCTGGCTTTTGATTTCTTGTTAGCCCTCGTGTGTGTTGATGTTCTGTCAGTTGCACTTTGTAGCACATACTATATTTTGTGCTTTGTTGACTCCAGTACTCAATGTTGAACATGTTGATGCTGTATGTTTATGGCACTTTGGCAGCACTGTGTTGGATTGCTGCTGTGTGTTGGATAATTGATAATGATCTGTGACAGGAGAGAGAGGCTTTATTTGTCTTTGCTTGTAGCTTTATTGATTTTTATTCTGTTCTCACACAAATTGCTTATCCTCGTTTTGACACTCACTGTATGAGCATCAACAAATTTAATATGCAAGGACATTTTCAGCCATGTTGTAAACAGGTGACAGTAGACCTGTTGTATTGGGTCATTTGTGTTTCTTTGGTCTTTACAGGCTCTCTGATTGCTTGTTATTTTCAGGTTAAAGAACTCATCACTGTAAAATTGTGAGGTTAATGTTGTGTTTTATCCCAGTTGAAAAGACTACTGCTGGAATAGCTGCAGAACAAGATACACAGAGGCATTGGACCAAAGAGTCACTGGAAGGTATGCAGAGATTTCAGTTCTTTGTCAGCCTTGTGCTTCTTGATTGTCTGCTCCTGCCACATTCACCTCAGTCTTTGCGTCACCAAATGCAGGTCTCTACTGATGTTTCTTGCTTTCTGTGGTGTATTGAGCATGTTATACGTTTTAACACAGCTTGTTTGTGCTGCTTTGGGAAGTGGACCAAGGACAAAAATCAGTGCAAGTAATATTAGTTCTTAAGATTAGGTTAACAGAATATGAATGCATATAGGAAGAAATGGCATAATATTGAATCATATTGGATGTTGTAGTCTTACCTGGCTGTCGCTGTTACGTGATGTTTTCCATGTGTCCTTCAACAACAGTTCCTTGTGTTTGTGCTTCTTGTGGTTTTTGGTGGAAATGACATGATTGATTGAAAGAATGTAGCATATAAGAGATTTGTAATCAGCTATTATCATTATGCAGTAGATAATTGTCACTTTTATCGAAACATGTTAGGTCATGAGACGCACTGTATATTGTGGCTTAGGCTGTAGTGTATATTGTTGTACTGCCTACTTCTTTCAAAAGCTCCATTTATAGGTCAGTGATTGAAGCCACGGATTTTTATAGTTACTGAATTTTATAAGATGTTGCTGAATTATAGCATGTGTACTCAGCAAACGCTCACTGGATTGGTAGATGATTAATGAATAGAGATAAATGGAAATGAGGTTAATGGCTGCTCTGTAGGCACCGTGTTTTTTGAGTATAATCAGACTTAAATGTTTTACCACAGCAGTGAGGCCTCTCGATACTCCAGCAGCTGTGACACTACCCTCTAGGGATTCCAAAAAAGTGGTGGAAGGTATGAACCCATAGTCTTGCATTTTCTGACTGTAACACTAATGTCTATGTTGGACAAGCTCTTGGTCATGGCATTGTCTGTGCATTTTATAAGATTCTGCTTTTCTTGTTGCACATTGCATGTATATATGTATCATCTGTAAAATGAAGTGAAGAGCTGTTGCTACTGTCAGTTTCAGGCAAATGGAAATCAACTGAAGGTGTTATTCTGTTGTTGTCTTGGACATTGTGGCTCTAAAACATGTATGGCATAGCTTTTGGTTTGCTGTCTCGTTTAGTCTGTTGGTGAAGATTTCCATGTTATGTAAGTTGAATTAAAATCTACATTATATTTCTACAATTAACTTTAGTTGCAGCAGAGGAGTCAGCAGCTTCAGCAGTGATCTCCAAAGTTGAACCTGAGAAGCAGGAATTCAAAAAGAGAGTTGAAGGTATGTGGTAGCATTGTAAAGAAACTCCAAGAGCAAAGTTCGTACTGAGTGTAAATGGGATCATGTTTGTATTCAGTAGGTTTCTCATATGCTGGGGTTTTTGCCCAAGCACATGCTCTGATAGCATGTGCTGCACATTCAGGCTGTTGTGGCGTAACGTTCTCGTGTCTAGAGGGTTTTGTCAGTGCTCTGGCACATTTGTTTTTGATGGCTGATGAGTTGGAAATTGCGTACTGACAATTGCATTTAGTTGCAGTCCATCAATCCTCACTGTTGAGTTCATTATTGTTGTTGTTTCAACATCCTTTTTGGCTTTAATCATCTGAAATCATTCTTGTATTTATGCTGCTCTGTGTTAACTACAGTAGATATTTAAGGTCTAATTACATCAATTACACCTGCAGAGATTGAAAAGCCTGCCGTTTCTGATGTCATCCCAAAGCCAGAGCCTGCAAAGCTGGATACTGAAGTGAAAGGACAAGGTAGAGGTTTTGTGGCACCCGCACTTTGTTTATTCCGCTCAGTTTTGTTTTGTCTTCCATGTGGATTTTTGTATGCAGTATAATCAGTCTGACTTGTTGTTGCTCACTTTTTGTATTCATCTGTGAATGCCAGATTTGCTGTATTCTGGATTGTTGTCTTCTCCAGATGGGAATAATTGAGAGCTGTGTTTTTGACAGACTTGATAAATGCTGAGCTGGTCCTGTGTTTTGAGTTGGAGAAGGGATCACTGGTTCCAGTGTTGTTTTGTGTATGTGTGTGGTGGGTGTGTGGGTGAGTGTATTATAGCAGCCATATATTTTCCTTTTTTCATTTTCCATATTTGCTTTTGTTTTAGCAAATAATTAAGTTAAAAATTAACCTGTTTGCACTTTCTGAGTAAGGTGAAAGATAGTATCAGTAGAAAACTGCACTTTAAAATGTCATATAATTCATTTTTTTATTGGTGGTTGTGTTCAGCTGACCGTTCAATTCTTTCAGAACAAGAATATTGAAATTAATTTCCTTTAATTTTTCTTTATTTAATAAACATTTTGTTGTATTTCAGCAGAAGGGCAAAACTGAGTATACCTCAATATTTGCAAGTAATATCGTTGCTGAAATATTCAGCATTATTACAAATTGCATATTTTGCTAAATATCGTGCAGCCCTGCTGTAGTCTTCATCTGGTGTCTCATTTGAAAGCCTGAGTTACAACAATACATATCAACAGTGTGTCTAATTGATTCAATCCCCAGTCCTTCAAGTCAAAGTCGTTCGAAACCTGGAGAGCCAGGAGGCTGAGGAGGGAGATAGTGTCACTCTGCACTGTGAGCTTTCTAAACCTGGACTGCCCATCGAGTGGAAGAAGGAAGCTCAAGTATTGAGTTGTGGTGAAAAGTACCAAATGAAACAAACAGGCTTCAGTTATGAGCTACAGATCTTTGATTTGAGACCTGGAGACACGGGAAGCTACTCATGCTGTTCAAAGGACGCAATAACTTCAGCATCTCTTGTAGTAAATGGTAGGATGGAGACCACATCATCATCTCATGCTGTCCTCTTCTTCCATCAAGTCTTTCATTTTATTTTTAAATTCATTCTTCTTCATCTTATTTTTCTTGACTGTGTACCATCTGGTTATTTCTCTTCACCCATCAGCTTCCCCAGTTATTTTCACAAAAGAGCTGGAAAGCCAAACGGCTGATGAGGGGGACAGTGTGACGCTGCACTGTGAGCTTTCTAAACCCGGTGTTCCTTTGGAGTGGAGGAAAGGAGAACTTGGTCTTTGTCCTTGTGCCAAGTATGATATTAGACAAACAGGACACCTGGCTACATTAATAATCCATGATTTAGACCCAGAGGATGCTGGGTGTTACACATGTGACACTGGTGACCTTCAAAGCACTGCACAACTAGCTGTGAAGGGTACGCCTCCTAAAACCTGATGTTTGTAGTGGATATACTTGAGTTGTAAATTAATTGATTGAAGACTTGCCTGTCTCATAGACTTAAGTTATTGCTATCTTAATAGTAGGGCTGTCATGACATGTCATTCAAATTCTAAATCATTCAAATGCTGCACTGTTTTCTTTTTTCTTTGCATGTCTATTAATTCTGTGGAAACCCCAATTGGACTGGTGTGATAAAAACCAGAGCGTTGTTAAGTCCAAAAGTCAACATTCATCGAAAGGAGATAGATGTAATCATTTCCAAAATTCACGATTTATCTAAGAAATGTTCTGCTTCAATCCATATTTGTTTAATTTTATCCTTTTAACATTTTCACTGTGGACAAAAAAGTCGGCTATACATTGTACCAGCTTTCTCTCGGTTTCGCTAAATCTTTTCTCCTCATTTCCACCACCTCCCTCCCTGCAGCCCAGCCTGTCCTTTTCAAAATCCAGCTGCAAAACCGTGAACTACAGGAAGGAGACAGTGCTTGTCTCCGCTGTGAGACCACAAAGCCGGGAGCCAGTGTGGTCTGGAGGTGTGGTGACAGGGTGCTGGCTTCCAACAGCAAGTATCACCTGAAACAGGAAGGAACTACAGTCGAGCTTGTCATCTATAAACTGCAGGGAGCCGACTCAGGAGAATACTCCTGTGATACAGGCAGCCAGAGGACTTCAGCTGTCCTCACTGTGCAGGGTAGGAGCTGTCTGTTGAAGGCTGTGCTTTTCATGCACCCTCTGGAGTCACGTCTTTCTGCGTGTCCAACATTACTCCCAACACTTGAGCATGAACGTCAACCTTTCATCTGGAGATCTTGTTTTCTCTCTTCTTTACTGCACTTAAATTTTCAAGTATTATTCCTCATCCCACGTGTGTTCTTGTTCTTCACTTGTACTTATTCACACAAAGACCTTTCTATTGAACTTGATCACTCATCATTTGTGCCTATCTGTGGTCTCTCTTCACAAACATTAACACACCTTTTACTGTTTTTCTTCACTTGCTACTCACAATAACAGCTTGGGATAAATCTTTATATAGTTAATCACACTCACACCATTAGCACGACTTGAACCATATCTTTGTCAAACACTTCAAACAACAAATATGTAACTATTCTGCTGAAATGTATTTGTCAAACAGAGGTCGAGGTCAACATACTGAAATTCTTGGAGAGCTGCGTTGTTTACGAGGGTGAAGATGTCCGCTTTGAGTGTCGGGTTTCCCATGAAGAGGCACCTCTGGCCCAGTGGAAACTCCAGGATGTCCCTCTGCAGAATAACGAAATGAACCTGATCAAGTCTGAGGGCCGGGTACACAGCCTCACTCTCAGGGGCGTCACCACAGCTGACTCAGGAATAGTTACGTTCTCAGTGGGTAACCACACTTCCACTGCTTCTCTGACAGTCAGAGGTAAGAAAATGCACTTTATGTCTTGGGATGAAAATTCCCATTTTGCTTTTATGATAACATTTGGACTACTGCTCATTTATCTAAACTATCTTCCTTGTAGGACACCTTCCCTCTATCTTTCCAAAAAGCTTACAAAAACCTGGATGCTTGTGATGTTTTGAGGCTCTCTTTTTATTTTAACTTCATTTTCAGTTTATACCGACTTCTTATCTATTCATCTATTGCACTTCTGTATTTGAAATCTACACTTTACTGCATATTATGTCATACTTATATTCATATTCTCTTCTCTTCCATTGAACTAGAGCTAACGTTTCCCATTTACTTTTAAATGTAGTTATTTATTGGTCATATTGATCGATATGTTTCCTTGCAACTTGTGCGTACAGCAAGTCTTCTGCACTTTTTTTTTTACTACACACTTTATTCAGATAACTTGACACACAACAGCAAAATTAACTCAGTGACTGACCATGTCCTGTTAATCAATAATTAAAGTTCTGAGTTTTTGTGTTGTCCTGGAGGCATGGGTGTGAAATACACTGACAGATGTAGTCACAACTTTTCCAGATTTGAGCCCTGCCAGGAGACCTTTGTTGCATGTCATCCCTCTATATCGTCCTCCCAACAAGAAATGGAATTCTCACAAATAATAAGCAGAAGTATTTTTATTCTTCAGGCTGTCAGTAGTGTCTCTCTGTGTTGTTTAGTGTTACTCACAAATACTAAACATGCCACTTAATGGTTCACCGTTTTCCACTATATTTTAATGTAGGGATGCACCAAATATCCGGTAACCGAATATATTCGGCTGACTAAAAATAGTTTTGAGCAAGCAAAATAGGCTTAAATCATTCAGCACGCTGTGCGAGCAGCCTACAGATTTCAACCAGCAGAAACAAAAGGCGAATCCCATTGGTTGTGGGTTGAACGGGGGTCACAGACACAGACAGTAATTTATTCCTGTCAAATACGGCGGCCATCGGCTTACCGGCGACGGACAAGTCAGTTCCAATAATATCCTCTTCTTGGCGTCATGACTGCCCAGAAGTACCTGAACAGCCGAGCCAGCCGAACACAGGTACAGTACAGGCCAAAAGTTTGGACACACCTTCTCATTCAATGCGTTTTCTTTATTTTCATGACTATTTACATTGTAGATTCTCACTGAAGGCATCAAAACTATGAATGAACACATGTGGAGTTATGTACTTAACAAAAAAAGGTGAAATAACTGAAAACATGTTTTATATTCTAGTTTCTTCAAAATAGCCACCCTTTGCTCTGATTACTGCTTTGCACACTCTTGGCATTCTCTCCATGAGCTTCAAGAGGTAGTCACCTGAAATGGTTT